ATACGGAAACTCGATTTTTGTGTTCATGGCATTGGACCTTACCTTCCCCATTTCGCTCAAAGTAGACCCATCTTCACCGCTACCCCTTGGTTTGGTTTGGACCTTACCTTCCCCATTTGGCTCAAGGTAGACCCATTTTCACCCTTACTCGTCGGTTTGGACCTTACAATCCCTATCTGGCTCAAAGTAGACCCATCTTCACCCTTAGCCCGGTTTGGTTTGGACCTTGCCTTCCCCATTTGGCTCAACGCAGACCCATATTCACCCTTAGCCTTTGGTTTGGACCTTACCTTCCCCATTTGGCTCAACGTGTTGACCCATATTCACCTTTACCCCTTGGTTTGGACTTGCCTTCCCCATTTGGCTCAACGTAGACCCATATTCACCTCACCTTCCCCATTTGGCTCAACGTGTTGACCCATATTCACCTTTACCCCTTGGTTTGCCCATTTGGCTCAACGTAGACCCATCTTCACCGCTACCCCTTGGTTTGGTTTGGACCTTACCTTCCCCATTTGGCCCAACGTAGATCCATCTTCACCCTTACCCCTTGGTTTGGTCTGAACCTTACCTTCCCCACTTGGCTCAAAGTAGCCCCTCCGCGATGTGGCGGCTTGTCGCACCATCACGAGCCCAGCAGCGCTGTCTTTGACCCCATTGGTCCCTTTGAGTCTCCCATCCACGTACCACTACCTAAACCGCAGGTACCTCAGGGAATGGGATCCAAACACAATTGGAACCCATTTGTTGAGAATATGGGAAGGGGCGGTAAGTGCAATTTGACCAAAAGCACCTCAGGCCATGGTACCAGTGGTACGTGGACAACAAGAAATTCACCGCCAAGACAAAGACCTCTAAGCCGTTTAGAGCGGAGTACGCGGCCTTACCCGGGCTATTCGTGCAATTGGTCGCTGTTTCGTCGGTAGCCCCGGCGATTCAGCCGACGTCTCGGCTTGGTGGACTGGCGTCTCGCGACTGCACCTCAAGGCCGGCAAATGTAATTTAGAGACACTTGGTGCCAACAACGGTAACGGTAGATCGGGGTAAACTCTTTGAAAAGGCTTTCTTCGTAGGCGGTGGCCGACCTCAAAAACAAAGCCCAAAGGTGCCCAGATCCTTGGTTGTGCCGGACGAGGAAGGGGACGGCGTTGTGTACATGCCCCCTCCGAAGCACGAACTGGAGGCCATCCAAGCGAGGATGCACGTCTTTGAGGAGGGGGCTACTCAAAAGCAATGTTTCCATTGTGCTTTGACCAAACTTCTTTTTAGGAGCCTAGTTTTGAGCCACAGCCAGGAAAAGATGGCAGCCAAGGAGGCCGCTGTCAACGCCAGCAGCTATGAGGGAGAGGCTGTTGATGCTTGCGAAGATGAAGCAAGGGCACTGCTGCTCTTCTGCTGCTGCGGCAGGTTGTCTGGGACATCCGAAAGCAGAAGGGGCCCGATGGTCGCGTTGCTGGATTGTCCCGCTTCGGGTTGCAGTGGTTCCGTGCTTTCCCTTGAAACATGGACGCGAAACGTCTTTTTATTTTGCAGGGTCGCTGGAACCCAGTGAGTTGAAGACCGAATGGCGCCAATCCTTGCCGGCGCATCAACCAGTTTGCATTTACCGCCAGGACCCGGGCAAGCTTCTGCGCGGCAGAGTTAGGAGGCGCTCAACGCATACCTGAAGCGTTGGCGTCCAAGTTTGGTCAAGCATCTACGGCCCCAATTTTGTGCCACCTTACCGATTCAAGGGGCCGGCGCGTCTGGAAGGACAACCAGGCCCACACCTTCGTGCAGCACACATTTATGAAGGCCTTGCGATACCACGAGAAGCTTCACTTTGGGGGGTGGACATCAGCAATCCACCACAACTCCCACCATAGGGCGGGAAAGAGGAACCAAGCCAATCCCTTCATTCTCAAAAGGGGCGATGAGGCTTAATGGCCGAAACAGTAGTTGCGTTTACCCGGCTTCAAGCGCAGACCGTTGAACAATGATTCGAACTTACTTCGGCGGCACTAGCATCAAAGAGTTATTCGCATGTACCACTTGTTGCAACACGGCGTCATCCCCAGTTGAAATGTACCACCACCGGGCCAGCGCCATCTTTCTCTTTCTTTCAGCCGGCAGCAGGCTCTTGCCAGCGCCATGTTTCAAGCAGACACAAGAGAATAAGTCAAACAAAAGCAACATCTGGCAAACCATCCGGCAAAAGACAAAAACAACAGATGTAGCAAACAGCAAAACAAGTTTTGGAGCTCAGCTGCATATAGGCCTCTTGGCGAACTCCGCAGGATATAGGGTAACGGGCCAAGCAGCTGGCAGCTGACCTCCCGCGTTTGGCATGGAAGAGCTGCAGTTTCCAATTGTGTTTACGGTCTTAAAGTTGCATTTACTGGCCCCCCAAACGCACTCACTCGCCCTTTTCCAAGCGTTTGTTTGAGAGGCAAGCCTCAAGGAGGCTTCTTTTCTAAAGGCTGGTCCTTGTCAAGGCTGTTGTTTTTTGCAACGGCTGGTCCTTGTAAAGGCTGTCTTTTCCAACGGCTGGTCCTTTTAAAGGCTGTCTTTTCCAGAGGTTGGTCCACCTACAGGCTGTATTTCCTAAACGCGGCCCTGTCTTTTTAAGGGCTGGTCCTTTTTACAGCTGCTTCGAGAGGTTTTTTTCCTTGACAGGCTTGATTTGCAATTAGGCATTTGCTTTCTACCATGAATTCGCGTTTACCCACACATTTTTCGTGCCTTGTTTTAACAATGCCCATGTGGTTTGGTTGGGAAGCTGACAAATATGTGAAAAATTCTGAGTTCTGAGAGTGACACCCTGCTTAAACGGGTGTTGTGCGTCAGGTAAGCGGGTCATAGCGCCACAAAGCAACGCTTAATACTTTTTTCAGCGGGTTATCTTGCCAGGCTTGCGAACGCACTGCCTCGATCGCCTGTTCAAGTACCTTGTCACAGAGTTCCCTCGGTTTGTTTCAAAGCCTGAATGAGGTCCATATCTTCGCCAGAATTAGCTCCCCTTTTTGATGCTTTTTTGCAGGGTCCTATTTCCAGCCAAGTTGAAAGGTAATCCGCAAGATCCTTGATTTACACAAGGAGTCCTCTTTTGTGGCTTCCCAATAGGGATGATGGAAAATCGGATTGGCCAACGGAACAACAAATGACGTCGTCGCGTATTGCGTATATTATAGGTCGATCTAGCTTCACACTGCGGATGGACGAAATCCCGCACCACCTAAGAAACCCTGGAATGCATGATTCCCCAAATGCCAACCAAAATGGTTTCAATCATGGTTTCTTAGGTGGTGCGAACTGGATTTCGCAACCATCCACAGTAGTATATATATATATATATACATATGTTTTCGCAGCGTCCCTAACCCCCCCCTCTATATACATATATGTATATCGACACATACACACAAACACGCACATACATATATATATATATATGCACATACATACTTCTATGTATCTGTACATACCCATGGCCCGTTTTGGACCCTTTCAAGGGTGCGCCCTCGCTTCGCGCGCGCGTCTCTGAGGCCGCCTCGGCGCGGCAGCGCTGCGCCGGGCGCAGCGAGGCGCTGGCGGCGCAGCTGCGGGCGAAGCTCGGGGAGCTCGAGGCGTCCAGGATCTGGGAAGGGGTCCTTCTTTTTGTGTGTGTATTCGATCTATCTCTATATATATGTATATGCATTTGGATGTGTATATGCATTCTGTATATATGTATGTATATGTATATATATATATATGTATTCAATCATATATATATATATATATATGTGTATGTATCTATCTGTATATATATATATATATATGCATGTTTACAAAACAAACATCTTGTGTTTTTTGAGTACCCTAAAAGCTCTCTGACACATCCGGATCTTCTCCCAGCTGGTGGTTGGAAGGGAACCGAGGAGGCCCGTGCAACTCTAGACGACCACAAGAAGAGGAGCCCCTTGCTTTTTGTTTTTGTTTGGGGGCTTGTGGGAACAGCCGAATCAGCAGAGGTTAAGGTACTTCAAGCCAGATCTGTGAAGATCCTGAGCGAGGTTGCCGTTGACCCTGGTTTGTGCCCCCATTTGCTTCGCAAGATCGGTGAGCAGAGACCCGTGCAACTTGCAGATCCGGCATCCAGTGAGGGTACTGTCCCGACGGCATCCATGCCTAAGTCTGGGCCGAGCAAGCAGTGGTTAGATCAACATGGCAGGACCCCTGGTTGCCATGCTTGTAGTCAGCCTAAGCTTCATGGAAGGGTCCATAATAAGCAGTGTAAAACTCGGTACCTTTGCAACTGTTGGGGGTCCTCTATTTGGAAACACGCAAGGGAATCTACAAGCAGCTGGTTGAAGCAAGCGTGTTTTGGGGTTGCAACTCCCCAGCGAGTTGACTTTCCACCTAGGTGCAACCCATTTGCTTGGACTTACCCTTCCAGTGGAAGTGGCCGCCCCAAAACGGGTAAAGCCACCAGATCTTTGGGCCAGATAGATAGTTGTCAGGTTTCTGAAACGGCGCGCCACAATCCAACAATTTGAGGGGTTCTCAAAAGCTTCTGGGTGGTTCCCTTTGAACGGGCATTGGAAATTCGGGTAGTTCCCATAAAAGATATGGCCCGGTTCGAAAGCCGGCGGTCTCTGACATGAGAGCTTGCTTGACGCCCACTTCGCCGCCTTTCCTCGCCGCCTTCCGGCCGGGGCTCAGCCCTTCGATCTTCCGATGTGCGAAGGGCGGATTTGACGGGGCACATGACCCAATGACGTGCCGTGGTCTCAAATGACGCGGGCCAGGCTGCCATGGTCCAACAAAATGTGCCAGGCTCGAAGGTCATTTGGGGTCTCGCCAGCATTGAACACCAAAACGTCTCAGTTGACGAAGTTTCGAGGGCACGTATCCAAGTCCAAAGCAGCTGCTCGTTTTTCCGACCCGGCCATTTCCCGAGCGATCGAACGCAAAGCGCCACCCCAGCTCCCAAGTCACAGGTGCAAGCAGGCGCAAGTCACTAGGCGGACCCAGGTTGAATGTATCGCTTTCAAGTCTCCTGCGACACGCAGTGGGGCGAGGACGGCACAGGGGTAGCGGCGGGTCGCCCGGGTTCCGTCGCAGGTTGAACATGCGGTCGGTTTGCCTTGGAACGGCAGGTTCCAGTGGTCGCAAATGATTTCATTGGAATCGATCCATTGATTTCCTAGCTAGTCGAAGGAAACCAAGCTGGACGTATCCACATTTGCTTTCAACATGGTAGTCGCTGCATGAGTCATGGGTCGACCTTTTGCCTTTCGTGCTCCCCAGATCACTCGCACTTAATGAGCCTTAAACTCGGACCAGCCGGTCTCCTTTTAAATGTTTGGGGCCAGGGTGTGTGTGTCTTCGGGGGAACCACATTTGTTTGGTGTCCCCCATTAAATCCAAGCGTGGTACAACATGTTACTCCCCAAGGACTGTGTGGGTCATTCGGATTGCATTTGGTTCTCAAAGACCGGCGCCCCTTGTGGATGGTTTTTATAGGAAGCTGACAGGACCCAAGCCCGTTGTCGCGGTCTTCTTGGAAGACAGACCGATTTTCTCGTTTCCGTGGCACTCGGCAAACCGCACAGCTGACACCTGGGAGGAGGTGTGCATCTTAGGCTCCGCCTCCTCAGTTGCGTGCTGGGATGTCAGCAGGGTCGGCGCCTCAAATGGGTGGATGCACCGCTACCATGGACCTTGCCCCATGATTAGCTCCTTCTTTTTTGTGCTTTTTTGTGATCCCCGTTGTTTTGTACTAACCAGAACAAATACTTTTTTGCTGGGGTCCTAATTCCAGCCAAGGGACTCAGTGCAAATGAGAAAGCTGTGGGGTGGGGTCACAGACCCATGGACCCCTAGAACGGATTTAGGCGGATTCCGTTTTTAGGGGAAGGATGGGGAAGAACACGTTTTGCCCTGTGCGGAGGTTTGGCCATACGGATGTTTCCTTCATGTGTGGTCTATGCTTCGCAGGGGGTTCATGTGTGTGTGTGTGTGTCTATTTATTTATCTTGGTTTTTCAAGTGAATGTCTTTCGCGCGCCATCACTTCTCCCTGCATCGGATCGATCGAAATCGAGGCGATCCCTCTGAGACCTTTGAGCTACCCCTTGTGGAAGAGCGATCCCATCGACGTCTCGGATGTTGGGCCACCGGAGGAGGTGCGGACCGAGCCCGTTTTGGTCTTGTTGTCTCAGAATATGGCCCTCCACACTCTATAATCCTGGAGCCCAGTCACCTCGTCCCCTCTCCAAAGAGCCCGTGCACTTGATTTGATTGGGGGTGTCCCCTTTTCGGAGGTTCCCCTTTCGGAGGGAACACTTTGCGAAAAAAAATAATTGGGACGGGTTCCAAAATCTCCGGGGTTTCCCAGCAGACCCATTGACCCACGTGAGCACATGCTTGGCTCATGATGGAACTTGAAGCCTCGCGGACTTGGTGAGTGGTTGGCCACAGACAGAGACTTCTGGGCCGGTGTTCTCCTTTTTCTTCGGAGCACTGGAGCACCCAGGAAAATTGACACCTCCCCAGCTAACCTGGAAAGGTACGCGGCTTCGATTTTGGGAGCTCGCAGCTGGATTCATTCCAAGCCTCCAAACCCTTGGGGAGACCCCGGAGTTGTGTGAAATCCTGGGCGGCAAAGGCTCAAAAGGTATGGAGGAAGTTCTTGGCATCGTTGTGGTCGTTATTTGGTCGGTTTCAGGGTTAATCCCTTCCCCCTGATAATAAACCCGGACCCCCTTATTAGAAAAGTAGTATTTATTCATAGGGTCCGTTTATTAAAAGGGGGAACGGATGATCAAAGTCAGACAGTGGGGTTGTTTCCCTTTACCCCACCACTTGAGGATGACTTGGACCATGGAAACATAATGAGGCCGGTCGTGGCACCAGCGAATGATAACGCAAGGTGTGAGCATGGGCGTGTCTTTTGAGGCTGCCCTTTGTTGGATTGCGTCAACAGGAAGCGAACAGGAGGCCCATCCGATCTGTGAGTTCCCCCCCAATTTTAAGACAAGCCCATGCAGCCAGGCACTTACCAACTTGTTCCAGACTTGTCCAAGGCCAACTCTTAGAGTTTTAAGCAGGGACTCGCCTCAAAAGTGGTTGGACAACCTAGATGATATCCACCAAAGGCTATGAACTTTGGATGATTGGAACAGACCCAAGCATAGCTGAAGGACCCAACTCACGCATTTCTGATGTCCGGCAATTGAAATTCATAGCCACAGCAGAGTCCTACAGCCTGGCACCTAGGATTCTTCAACTCAAGCCCTGGTTGATATGCGTATCCGAAATTTTCAAGGGGATCTAATTCACTTTTTGCGGACACCTGTAGAGAGAGAGCGAGAGAGAGAGCGAGAGAGAATAAAAAGAGACAAAAAGAGAGAGAGAGCTTGTGCCTTGGGGGCGGGAGTTCAGAGGCAACTGCACGCCTTTGGTCGGCAAAGAGGAACCTAATTGGGCTGGATTAGCATTTCAACGGCTCGTCTTGAACTTGCCCTCTCCCTCATCTCACAACGCACAGCTTTCGCAGCGCTCATTACTTGACTGCTATCGGGTTGGATCTTTAGACACTAACTTTTTGGGAAATCAAGGGGTCTTCAACTAAATCCACAAAAATTAAGGCACTTTTGGCAGAGGGGTCTCGCCAGCAACCAAGATTATGTCTAGAACCCTTCGAGAACCCTTCGAGTTCTCTCAGTCAGCTTTGGGGCGACCACTTTGCCAGCAACCGGGCGCTCCCGGCCAAATGGCCACCACTCGGGCCGACCACTCCCGTTTTTCTGAAGTTTTGATATCGTGCGGATATGTCCCACTTGGTGTATTTTTCTGGAACCAGCATGGCTCAGCGTGATTTGCGGGCGATGCTGTTGGTTGCTTGACTTTGTGGCCCGGTGGGAAACCCCATGAGCGGCGCTTGCCAGGTGGCCATGGGTCAAAATCCAAATCGTACCCCCAGTGAACATCCCAATCCCCACTCAATAAAGCCTAAAATGGGTGGTGCATTCACCAACCAACCAAAATGGGATCCCAAAACGGTTTTGACAACCGCAGCCAGGTCGCTTCACGCTCAAAGCGGCTCGAGTACAAGTACCTGATCAGAGGGCCTCGCGGTGTAACGCCGCCGCCCTGGTAATTGGGAGGAGCGGCGAAAAGGAGACGGATGGCGTGGTTTGTTTCTCGGTTTTTTGGGTTGGGCGAGCCAGCTAGAACAAGAATGCCCACGTCTTGTGCTGTGAGGATCCCTTGAGTTGTAGACTTTTAGATGTTTCAGTTCAGGGTTGAGGGGGGATATCCTGTAGCTGAAAGGCTGGCAAGCAGCAAGGGATCAAAGAACCACTCAGTGTAGGAACCAGTTGGCCCGTTTTTGGCGAAACATAGGCAGCACTGGATGCACCGGATCTTTGATTGAATGGGAGTGCTGATCAAAAGGCAAACCGCGGATTCTGCAAGGCCATGTTGCGCCAGGAACTGGGTTTGTCTCAAAATGGTGGACCCCAGAATGGGTGGTCTCCCTGTAGGGCAGACACACCCAAACGGCCTCGATGGGAAGGATGTGGCAAAATCGACTGGTAAGCCTGCAGAATAAAACACCCAAGTTAAAAGACGGTCACCCATATGGCTGTGGGTCAACACCAATGGTACCATTTTGGGGTAGGTGAATTGACCACCCATTTTAGAACCTATTTTAGTGGGGATTGGGATGTTCACTTGGGGTACGGGGTTTTGACCCATGGCCATATGACTTAATCATCAAGAAAGTTCAGCCCATTTGGCGGTGACTCGAAGGTGGGAGCACGGGAACAACCGCTGGGTGCCAGTAGAGACGGGAAGGCGGGCCGAAGGTTGGGACGAAGGCCTATCAATAAGTGCTTTCATTTGCTTTCATTTGCTTAAGGATATGTTTTAGTTTTATTTTCCCTTGTTGGCTTGAAAGAGAATCTAGGGGCTTCAGCAAATAGAAGCTTGGGGTTGGTAGAGATGGTCATCAAGAATGATTTTAGGTAATGGTGAGGATTCCTGTTGATATGTGAAATTTGACCATAGCCATGGGAAGTTTTGACCATGTCACCAATCACGCCACCATGGCAACCCTATGGTTGGGCTCGCTTCGATCCCAGTCTTCAATGATCAAGCCAGGTGGGCGCTTTCACCAGGATCGAACAAACATACAACAATCACTTTCTCTTGTTTTGGCCCCTTTAAAGTGAGGCTCCCTTGGAGTGGGCCGTGTTTTTAGGGACATATTTTCTGAACTACTGGTTTGAGATGCTCCAACTGGTGATTCTTCTCTTAAGGAATCCAGAGCTGGAGCCTTTACCAGAACCAGGGCCTTACTTTGGAGCTGATTTTGATGTGCTCCAGCTGAGGACGCGGGATCGCTTTCGGAGGGTCATGAATCCAGGTTGAAGTGACTCACATGGACTTGCGATTGCCAAGACTCCTGCACCAAACGGACAGACCGTGTAGCAGTGGCATACAGTGGGACTGCTGTGCATTCCATGCCGACTCTGCATGTCAAGATTTAGTGTAGCAAAAGCACAACATGATATGAGCTTGTCAAAAGTTCCCAATACCCCACCCAAACCCCTAGTGATGGGAAGAAAAGGGCACTCTATTCAGTTGATTTTAACGGGAGCCAAACCGAGTTCCTCTTCTCACATGCTTCCCCCCATAAAGCAGGAGCCATCGCAGCCGATTGATCGGGCGCGACTGATCCACTTTCCTTGGCTCGGGGATCTCTGGGGCCATTTCGGGAGGCTTACGGTGCATGACGGGTTCTTTGGGCATATCCAGCCGTACCCCTTCTCCTTCGAGGCGGGGGGGGGGGGCCGCGCCGGTTTTCCCCTTTGAGAGAGTTTGCAGGTTGGGTGCGCAAAGGGAAGAAACGGGTTGAGATTGAAGAGGTTACAACTATCCGATCAATCACCCTCCAAATGGTTACCTCCAGATTAATGATAAATATGTTAAAAGTGTTGCCACTTAAAGGTGCCCTCGCTTAATCAATTGAAGGGACTCAAGTAGATCCATGTGCAAGGTCCCTCAAAACGCCTCGGTCATGTTGAAATAGGGTGCGAGCCTTTCTGCCTCGAAGGAGGACGATCACGAAGATCCAGAAGCCGAGGACTGGCCAGATGACATGATGGTAATGCGCACGTTGCTTCTGCGGGTTTTTCTGGCGTCAGAAAATCGCACGCGTCAAAGCCGTGGAACTGCCAGAATGATTGATTTTCTGGTGTTTCAAGAAAAACCAACCACCCCCAAGAAAAAGGCAACCCCGCTGTGGACGGACGAACTCCCGCACCAAGAGCTGAAACCACGGTTGAAACCATTGTTTATCGGATTTGCCATGGGAATCATCAGAAACCAGGGGTTTCTTAGGATGGTGCGAAATGGATGCCGTGCATCCTGTCTGTTTGTGTGTCAATCTTTTTGTTCAACGTTGTTTTATTATTATTATTATTATTATTATTATTATTATTATTATTATTATTATTATTATTATTATTATTATTATTATTATTATATTTATTATATTTATTAGTATTGTCATTATTATTATTTTTACTATAATAATAATTATTATTATTACTGTGTATTATTTATTATTATATCATTATTATTATTATTATTATCATTATAATTACTATTTGTTAATATTATTAGCATTATTATAATTACTGTGTATTATCATGTTTCTTCTATTATTATATCAATATTATTATTATTATTGTTATTATGATTATTATTTTACTTTTATTATTATTTAGTGTTATTATTATTTGGTTTTTTTTTATTACTTATTTATTCATTTAGTTATTTGATATGTACTAATTTATGTATTATTTGTTATTATTTATTACTAGTACGATTTAGTATTTGTTTTTCCTTTTTGTTTAACAACTTTTTTTTATTAGGATTATTGCTATTTATTTATTATGTTTGTTTTATTTATTACAATCATTCGTTTTTTTTTTTTTTTTTTTTTTTTTTTTAATATTTTTATTATTATTACTATTTATTATTATTATTTATTATTATTTATTAATATGTACTATCATTATTATTATTTAATATGATTATTGTTATTTGTTATTATTCTTTTTATTATTCAAACATTATTTTTTTATCGTTCTCGGGGTACGAGCAGGACACCCCAGAGCGACACCACGCCGCCAGCGGCTGGCGGGTGCTGGTCCTGGGATCCTCGGTGGCCGAAGGCCCCGAAGCCGCGCCGCCGGTTTCGCCGCCGGTGTGGCGTTTTGGAAGCCTCCTGTTCACTTGGCGAAGCCATCCGGTTCAACGCTTTTTAGAAGAAGCTCCCATTGAAAGTCAGATCCTGGCTTTTCGTGGGTTTTCCTGATCGTCCCGTGTATCACGGAGCTTTTGAGCAACCCCCAGGTGTTTGGGCCATATGGGCCATGGGCCATGTGGGTTTGGGTCAAAATCAAGCCCCCCAAAAAAGCCGCAGGTTTTAGTCCTTGGTTCCATTTACCAGGGCAAGCCATTGTTGGGTGCCTATTTTTGACCCGCACCAGACGGAGAGGCTACAACACCTGGCGCAAACGCGGCTGGGCCTGGCGCCTAAAGGAGGCCGGAGAACTCAGACGTCCAGATAGCTCCACTCCACATTTTGCCAAGGGATGTTAGGACTGAACAACTTTTTGCCAACTCATTTGGGTTTTCCGTATTAAACCACCAAAAGTTGAGAAGTTTTAGCAGGGGAGCAGATTTCGCAACCGAGATCCAGTGGTTTTGGCGTTCGAAAAGGCGCACGAGAATACGGGGTTTTGGTGTCCGAGCCATTTGGCTGTGGTTGTTAAAACCGTTTTGGCCATTTCCCCCCTTTGAAGCCTCCAAAAGTGGCAGAAGAAAGGGACACCGCCAGTTTTATTGCAACTTGTATCGGGGCAGTCCAGTGACCCCTGCGAAAAGCGAGCGTCCGTGGGGGTTCTTCACTTTCGGAGAAACACACCCTGGTAGCCTGGCTGAAATGCGCGGTCAGCAATTCAATCGTTGCGACTTGGGATTGCTCCTTGTGGGTGGGAGATGTGATTAAGTCTATGTTGGCGGTTTTTTAGCATTCCAGTTTTCCGGGCTTTGCCAAACCAGTCCCACCCGTACTCATGCGGTGCAATGCATCAATGCTTGACTGCTATTGGGTTGGATCTTTGGACTTTCACTTTTTGGAAAACAAAGGTGTTTTCCACTAAACCCCCCCAAAAAGTTAAACTTGTTGCAGGGTGGTCAACAGCAACCAAGAATGCTTTGTATGTTTGTGGCAGGTATTTGGTTCAAGGGAAAAATCGCAGGCGTTTGCCATGACCCAATCTTACAATCAGAGGCTCTTGGAGACAGAAGCTGATGCGGCCAAGCCGCAGCAGTGCAGCTGGAGCCGGTATTGGGCCTGGCTTACGGGGATAGCTCTGATTTTGGGTACGCTGGTGGTCTTTCAGGCATTTCAGAGCCTCGGGACTGAGGCCAGGGGTGCCTTTTCTGCCTTTTTTGAGTGGGTTTTAAGCATCACCTTTGTGGCTCATTCATGATGGGTTTCCACTGGTGGTCCCCCTGAGGAGGCGCCGCGCTATTTGTACGTGTCGTTTCACGGGGACGGCTCTGCCACCACGCCGCTGCCGCAGTACCATGGCTGTTGGGACACATCTCACATATTTTCGCTTATGGCGGTTTAGCGGTTGCAATTGAACTGCTACAATTTCATGTTTCGCTTGGTTTATATGGTTATAGTGGTTGAAATCCAACCACTGAGCCGCTAAAAATCGATATATATATATATATGTTCCTCCCCTTCCACGTCAGCCACTTTTTTTTGCGCCCCTTCCAACGTCTTTTGCTCCCCTTCCAACGTCAAGGTACGGGGTGAACCAAGTGCTTCGCTTCGACCTGGAGCATCCCGAGGATCCGGCCGTGGAGGTGCTGGACACGGCTTCGGCGCCCACGCCCCCGCGGATGCTGAGGGATGTCAAGGGCCTGAAGGACGACGTACCGATGGCGAAATCCGTTTGGGTATGGGTCAAAAGCCAAATCGTACTCCCAGTGAACATCCCAACCCCCACTAAAATAGGTTCTAAAATGGGTGGTGAATTCACCTACCCGCAAAATGGTACCATTGGTTTTGACCCACAGCCATTTGGGTATGGGTCAATGAATCAGGCCATTGCAGCCTGACTAGTAACTAGGCTGAGGACTGAGGGACATGACCTTTGGCTGCTATCCAATACCCATCTGGCAACCTATCCCCTTGGTCGGTTTACCTTTGTTCCCTCAACAGCTGACCCTTCCTTCGCTGGCGATTCTGGCCAATCATCACCCTTGCCCTTGAGACTAAGGGCGAGGGTGGGAGGGAGGGAGGGAGGGAGGGGGAGGGGGAGGGGAGGGGGAGGGGAGGGGGAGGGGGAGGAGGGGGAGGGAGGGGGGGGAGGGGGGAGGGGGAGGGGGAGGGGGAGGGGGAGGGGGAGGGAGGGGGGGGAGGGGTTGCGAAATCCATTTCGATTTCAGCACCTAAGGAACCCTGGTTTCTGAGGATTTCCTTGTAAATGCCGGACCAACCATGGTTTCATTTTGTGGTGCGAACAGATGTCGTCCATCCACGGTATGTTAAGAAGCAAGCGTTAAGGGTTCAACTTAGGGAGAGCAACAGGAGATTGAAGCAATTTGGCGGGTTAAAGGGAAAGTCAGAGGGGATTCTTTGAAGAATTGGTTGAACCCATGGTTTAAACAAGGGCTTGGCACCCGCAGACTCGGGATGTTACAACGACTTCGCCTTTTCAGGTCCAACATGGTTCTTCCTTTTCAGTCCCGAAATCGATGGGTTCCACTGGATCGGATTTCCTCCATCCAGGGCCATCCAGTGGTTAAAGGCCACCCATGTTGGGGTGTGACAGCGCGAGGACGGCTCCGTGCTCGTGGCGCAGGGCCTGAGGTCGGACTCCTGCATCTTGCAGTATGGGCCCTGCGACAGCAACGGACAGAGGCAGTTTGTCCGGGAGTACCGCAGCCCCATTCTGGTGCATCCCTACGCCATGACCTTTCTGGGCCGGCGCCTGAGTTCGAGGGTTCGAGGGAGCGTGAGCCGCGTCCGAGGTGCCGAATGGCTTTCGTTTTGCGGGGGGCCGGCTGGTCAACTTTGAGGGTCAGCTGGGGGTAAGCACTTGGCTGACTGACCAGACCATGAGGGCGTATGTGTAGTATGTGCCTTTTCGAGTCAGTTTGGCTCAAGCCAAATAGTACCACAACTAGGTCCCCCACTAGTGCCCTTTTACCTTTTTTTGGGGAGGGTTCTCCTACCAGAAATAGACTACAGAAAAAAGGGTACCATTATTCTAAGCTCTCTACTGGAGGACCCAGATAATATGTTTTTTATAAGAGGAGAGGGGGCATGCGAAAACCTGCGCCAGGTGACACGTTGTATGCCTCTACCCAAGACTCCGGCACGGTGGTCGGCTTCAACCTCTCTGCGACCTGGCAAGAGTTCTGTGCAGCTGGTGCGAAGATGAGGAACTTCTACAAATGGGTATGATACGGTACCCTAGGTGCCATGATAGTGGGAGGGAGGGTACATGCCAAAATTGGGGCAGCCCCATTTTGGGGTGGTTTTTGTTCTTTTAGTTTCCCTTTCAGCCAACCCCAAAAGGTACCCTACAGGCCCTACACAGACACAAACCTCAAAGTGTTCCTTATTGAAGCTGCCAGCTCGCCGATTGCAAGCCAGCTTCTTCAGTGGTTCCACCCGAGTCTGTGTTTTTGTTCGGCGGGCTGACTCGGGACGCAACAAAACTGGGCTCAAAGGCACTCCGCAAGATTATGTTGTGAAAGGATTTGGTCCCCTTTGCGGGTTTCTAATAGGGACGGAGAATCAGATTGGCCGAGACTCCCAAAAGTCTGAACAGAACAAGTTGCTTAGCAATCCCAACTGAAAGGGCAGCTCCCTAAGCAATGCCGTTTAACTTGTCTTTTGCCTTATGGGTGTTCAAAAAATAAATAAATTAGTTAGCGTCTAAGTCCGGTCAGGCCTACCTCACTCAGGTATGGTTCATGCAACCGGAACCGCATGCCACGGAACGCGCGTTTGCTTACGCCCCATGAAACACTGAACAGGCATGACTGCAAGTGCCCTTTGAGGTCAGTGTGTTTGAACACAGATGGTGCTGTTTTCAGTTTGCTTCCAGTGTTGACACAAAGATAATGACCCTGGGGGGGTCCCGGGGGGTCCGCCAAAACTTGAAGAAATCCCTTTCTCAAGTGAGACACCCCCTACTGGGTCAACCAGGCCCTTCTTCATCCTGGTGAGGACCATAGGTGCCTCTTGTTTTTGCTTTTTTGTAACATCAACTAGTTTGGTTGAAAAGAAATCATCGGCTATGTGTGCGTGATTGCAGGGTAATGTTCAGCTATGTACTGCTTTCCAGATTGGTTCTCATTTGTTACCATGCCGGCAATGGAACCTGAAATTTTCTGGCTAGGACCTGTTGCTCACAGGACCTAAGCTGAGTTCCGTGGGAGGGTCATGTCGACCTGATGGACTTCCGGGGGCCCCCCCTGATTCATCAGGGGTGGACACTACCACTTAATAACTTAGTAGGGACTAGAAGCTTACTAATAGTTTGTTTCTTCTTGTTTTTTTTTTTTTGTTTTTTTTTTTTTTTTTTAAGAACAGATCATTTCTTTTGATAACTAGATAGTTTCTAGTACTGTAGGCTTCCCCTTTTCACCTCGGATCCGAAAGGCCGCGGACCGGCTGTCTGCTGGGGACCGCATCAACTTCAACCTGCAGGGCGCCCTTTGAACCGCAGCGAGTCGCGAGTCGCCGATCGCGTCGCGAGTCGCGAGCCGCGAATCGAATGGTTGGAATTTTGGTTCGGTTGGTTGCCTTCCCACCAACCAACATGGAACTGGACGTTCTTTTGGAAAGTCCTGGTTTGGACCATGTTCCTTTCAATTGGACCCCGAACGTCAGGTTCCATGTGAATTGAGGGTAATGAATTGAGGGTAATGTCCAAAAGGCGGGACCGCCCCCGCTTCAACAATGGGGGTATCTAGAATAGTATCAGTTTCCATTTGATTTAGTATTGGTAGACTTGAGTTTCCATTTGATTTAGTATTGCTGGAGCTTCCTTTTGAGATTTGGAACTGGGTTTCCATTTGATTTAGTATTGCTGGAGCTTCCTTTTGAGAATTGGAACTGAGTTTCCATTTGATTTAGTATTGGTAGACTTGAGTTTCCATTTGATTTAGTATTGCTGGAGCTTCCTTTTTGAGATTTGGAACTGAGTTTCCACTTGATTTAGTATTGGTAGACTTGAGTTTCCATTTGATTTAGTATTGCTGGAGCTTCCTTTTGTTTTCTTGGGGGGGCCAGGCAACAAGACTTTATTTCGGGGGCCCCTGAAAAAATGTCAAGTTGGGGGCTGAAGTACTACCCCCTTGTGGGTTTGATTGTTTGCAGGTTTTAAACAAGAGACATGTAAGAAAACATGGGTTTGGTAAAGCTGACAATTTTGGATTTGAGGAGCAGGCCCGAATCTAACAACACAGCATGAAGCACTGCCAGCCTCACCTAGGCTGTCTAACTACTTGACTAGCTAAGAGCCAATTGCACTGGGCAGGTTGTATTTTTCAGGGGGCCAAGCAACAAGACTTGATTTCGGGGGGCCCTGAAATAATGTCAAGTCGGGGGCTGAAGTACTACCCCCTTTGTGGGTTTGATTGTGGGCAGGTTTTAAACAAGAGACATGTAAGAAAACATGGGTTTGGTAAAGCTGACAGTTTTGGATTCAAGGAACGAGGTACCAAAGATCCAAGGACCAGGTGTTGGCTTGGCTATCTCTCCTCTCCTTTCTCTCTTTCTTTTTTTGGGGGGGGATTTTATTTTTGCGCGGGTGGCGGGTGCTTGTCTTTAATCCAGGTGCATTTATTATTTTTTTTGGCCCCCCCAGTTGTCTTTATTACGCGTGCAATGTTTAATCCCATTTGGACATTACCTAAAAACAAGCAAAACAGGATGTGGGCCCTCCCCAAAACCCGTTGGTTTCCGTTTGGCTTCTCTCTCAATCCAATTTGATAGGCGGTCATGGCGAGAAACTCCCATGATCCACACTCACGGAAGTGGGCGGTCCCATCCGACAGGTGCGGGCTTTGCTCTTCATTTTTTTTGCGACCCCCTTTAGAATCGTAGCCGGGTTCCCGTGGTAGAAAAAGTTTCAACCCCGAAGCCATCAGGCGACATATAAACCTTTGAAGGTTCGTTTCGGTCGGGCAGTGGACAACACCACGGCCGCGTTCCTTGCGGAACGCAAGGGTTCCCTTGGTTTTTTCGCGTAAGCCCCTAGTAACCCCCCCCCCCCCTTTCCCGTGATTGGGCATGCGCCCAGAGTTCGGGTCTGGAGTTATTTTCCTTGTGGCTTTTCTGCACCTTGTGGACTGTGGGCCCATGTGCTTTTGGTGAGTTCCCTTGGCGATGTTTTTTCGGCGATCGGTTGAACCCTGCGAGGGAGGGGATTGCAATGACTGAGTGGCAGTGGCTCCAGAGCTCAGGACTTTCGGTACAGACCTGGCATCACCTACAGAGGCATTGCAAGCTACAAGAAATGCCTCTACCTTTCAGTGACGGAGATGGACAAGGCGTGGGCGGTTGTGTTGCACTTGGGTTCCCTCAACAAATTTGGACCGTGGCTTGAAACCCCTATTTCTTCCGGTGCCTGCCACGATTTAATGAGAGTGGGAACACCGCCAACCAACCGATTGATTCCAGCATGTGAAGCATGAAAAAGAAGAAGCAGATGAAGAACCCTTTTTTCAACGCTTTTTGAGAGTAAGGGTTCCCCTTTAAAGTCAATCAACAAAAAAGGACGCCTTTTTTTCCCATGGTCACTGGGCATCTGAGAAGAAGAAGAAGAAGAAGCAGAAGAAGAATAATTATGGTAGAACAAAGGCCCTGGTACCATTCAGGATGGGTTCATCAAGAGATCTTTTTGCGCAGGTCGCGGTCATTTGTGACTTGGACCACGTCTCTCGCCACATTCACGTGAGACACCCCATTGGCCTTTTGGTGGACGAGGACAAGGATGAGCTCTACATAGCATCACCCAACAAACAGAAAGATGGAGAAGTCCTTGTGTGGGACTTGATCTCACAAAAGGTCTCGCGCAGGCTGAAACATGACGCGTGCATGGAGTAGTACGTTTTATTTGTGGGATTTCTCGACATCAGGTTCGGTCACACTTTCCAGTAGGACGTTTGGGCCATTTGGGACTCGCTGAATTTCAACGAACAAGAATAAATCAAAACAAATAAAACAAGAAGGACACTGAATTTCCCATATCCTATTGAGGAAGGCATTTTTATCCTATGCGACACTCAGGAGGGGATGACGCATCCCACAAACATGGCCATCCACAATGGCTCCGTGATCGTCGCCTCGCAGACCCAGAAGTCGATCCTTCAGTTCAACCGCACCACCGGCGATTTCATGCGGACCTTGATCAAGAATCTACCTGATGCGCCTGAGAGGCTTTGCGGCAACGAATATCAACGAAGGTCTTGTTGACACATGAAAATTCTTTGCAAGTGAACATCGGCACCTCAGGATGCTTGGTTTGGCAAGCAACAATTCCACGCGCACTGAGCTGCCCTAAACGCTTCTCAATGTCTTTGCGTAACATCAGGCCAAGTTGTTTCGCACACACGGGGCACCCTGATCAAACTGTTGGGCTAAAACGCGGCGTTCATCAGCTTTGCACCCTTTGCCTTTCCAGAGCTTGACGCCCAGCTTCACAGCCTGGCGTGTGAAGGGCTGAAAGAAGGCCGGTTTCTCAGTCCATTTTGGTGGATCCTGGTAACCACTGGTGGTTCAATCAACTACCAGGGCCATCAATTTTCCCAAAAAGGACACCTATGATTTTGACGGTTTCCGGGGGTTATCAAAGTCAACATCTGGGGTTCGGCACTTGGTGGAGTGATTTGATGGCAAACCAGTGGCGCCAGATTGCGTTCCCCGAGGAACGTTATGCTGTCATCGTGCTGATGTGCAGCTTCCGCAAGAACCTTTGCGACTCTTGAGCGGTGATACGACATCACTGGGCGCATGCCCGAATTCGTGCATGCTGGCATACAGCAAGGCGTATGCATGGGCATAGACGTTTCCGATTTTCCGCAGTGCCGTTTTCATGTGCCCTAGCTGGAGGCCAGCTATCGCTGTTTGGGGCCGATCTGGCTTTGGCTGGGGCACATTGTTGGTCACTGCTTGCGCTAGTGACCCTGACAGGGAAGGCCAGCCCCTAAGGGCTGCTGAGCGATTTGAAGCCGGCGCAGGCTTTCTGATCAGAGGCAGGAGTGCCAAGAGCACAAGTGGGGCTTGACCAAAGAGGAAGCTTGTCCATTCCCTGTCGAGACTCGATACGTTGCTGTAATCCGGACATAAAATGCCTGGCATGTCAACCCAGATCTCTGAAAGTCGGGAAACTCATTCAAGAGACACCATTTCTGGACAAAATTCAGGCTTACGGATTCGGGCAAAAACAAGCTCACACTGAGGTCCTCTGGTAGGGGTTCCATGATTTCCGGTTTGGGAATTCTAGTGATCCAAGAACTTAGCTACACTTGCCTTTATTATTTTCTTTTCCGTTTTTACGGGGATTGGCGAATTTCCTGCAGAATCTCTGCTGGTTTCTGCCGAAGCAAGCGGATCTCACGGAATTCCATGGGTCACAATGGCCGCCCTTTGTTGGTGGAAGACCCCAACGGTAGCCTCAGAAAAGACGAGGTATCCCCCCCCCCCCCCGAAATGCTGAGATCCGTTTGGAAGCCTCGAACAATGAGATGCCCATCGTTGGGAGTTTGATTGAAGGCCCACCTCGAGGTATCTCGGCGGCTTGTCGTAGGCCTTCGAGTCCAAGCTTTCCCCAGTCGATGAAGTCGTTTTGGGTGTGGCCGACACTCCCCTGGAAAGCGTTGGCCCAGTTTGTTGAACCATGGTTTAATCAATCGTATGACGGGTATTTATTAGATTTCCCCCCCCCCAAAAAAATAAATCCGCACCCTTTCCTTTTTTTCCCTGAATAAAACCGCCTAGTTTTCCCCTACATGGTTTCAATCGTTGCCCGGACGGTACCTGAGTGGGGATGCCCCGAAGCCAGGCGCTGCAGCATTACGGCCACAATGTGAGACGCCGAGCAAAGAAAAGGATGGAAGAGAAGCAGGGCTCCTGAAAAGATACACTTTGCAACCATTTGAAACATGGCTTGTTTCACCCAAATAAAGGAAACCGCCATTTACAAGGCAATGTTCAGGTGTATAGTGTAAGGATCCCTGTTTTTGGTCTGATCCTCCTGGGCGGTTGGACACCCCGGAAATTGGGGGGTTTTCTCTGATGGGTGGTTCCTTTTGGTTGTTCATTACGGCCAAGAACATCTTGCAAGGGCTTTCTCAACCCATTCGGGGTGGGGGGTGGGGAGTTGTCATCAGCCTCCCCCCTTTTTCGATGCCCCTAATTCTGGTTGTACAAAAGACGCGACTTGTAAGACCTGGCGATGGATGGTCATCAACCCCCTTACGGAATTTTGAGATGATCAGATGCAGCTTGAGGGATGCGGAAGGAAGGGACAGGAGGATAAATGAAGGGCAGGGAAGATAAGGGCAGGGAAGGAAAGCTACGGACAGGGAAGGGAAGAGAAGGGAAGAGAAGGGAAGATGCGGGCAAGGAAGGGAAGGGAAGAGCGCGAAGGCAGGGAAGAGGGAAGGAAGGAAGCACATCTACCCCTAGCTGATGCTCTCCCAAGCAGATCTCGGATCCCGTTGTAAGGGCGAGTTTTTTGGATGCAATCCACTTGGCGACGGCGACTGTGTCAGTATGTGTTTGCGTGCCTGCCTGCTTCAAGGAGAGGGCTCAGAGTGAGCTTAGGACAAGTTTTCGAGTTCATTGCGGACAAATTTCGGATGAGCTTAGGATCGCATGAGGGGTGATTCGAGGATTTGGGGGGGTGGTTAACAGAGTTCATTTGGGATGGGGTTGATTTAGAGTTGAATTAGCATTAAGGCAAGCGGGTGTAGCATGTGTGAAGGGTTAACTTGGGGCTCTCCTTCCTCTTTCCCTTCCTTCCTTCCTCCCTTCCTCCCTTCATTCCAAGAGCACCTATCACATGGCAGACTTTAGCATCACCATGCGATATAAGCCCCATAAGGAGACACAATGGCCCGGGTAGTGCCTTTGGTCGCACTCGAGGGCACGCTTCATGAATCAATCGTGCGCAAGACTCGTTTTGTTTTTCTTTTTCAACCTGTTAACAAGTTGCTGCAGTTCCTTCCTCCCTCCCTCGATTCTCCGAGGTCGTTAATGCATCGCGGTGCGGGGCCAACGTGACCACGACCAAGGAGCAAGCTGCAAGAGCGAAGACTGTCATTGAAATCCGGGAAGAAGGCTGGGGGCCCTACAAAAATTGAGCTGGAATCCTACAAACCTTCAAGAAACCTACAAAAACACCTTCAAGAAATTGAGCTGGCCCATCAAGAAACCTTCAAGAGCCCATCAAGAAACCTACAAGACATGGCCTGGACTCCTTCAAGAACACCCGTCACTTTTGGGAGGAATCTCCGTTCGGGAGATCCTTGGAAGGTTTGGATCTGCGAAAAAGCTTGGGGTGACCTCCAGCGAGGCGAACTCGCCTCGCTGGACCGGCCTGGGGGCTGAAACTTTGAGCTCCCATCACCAGCCAAAGCGATGTCCAGATACGCTCGATCGACCTGTACTCGGACCTTAGTGGTAATGGTGGTGGTGGGTGGTGCTGTTTATGGTGGTCATGGTGTTGTGGGGTTTTAGTGGTCATGGTGTTGGTGCTGGTGGTGTGGTCATGGTGGTCATGGTGGTCATGGTGGTCATGGTGGTCATGGTGGTCATGGTGGTCATGGTGGTCATGGTGGTCATGGTGGTCATGGTGGTGGTCATGGTGTTCGCTGAATGAACCGGCCTCGGCCTCGGCTGCAAAGGCTCGAAGTCTGATCAGCTTGGCTTTGGTCTAGGCCGCAGGTGTCCCTCTCGCAAAATGTCGCAAAATGTCAGAAATTTTGGGCGTGCAAGTGATGTGGCATGCAAGTGTGCGTTTGAGTGCCCGGGAGTTGCAGTCTAGAAGGAGTTGCGCATCAGTACATATTTGGTGGATAGCTCCTAGTTTGCAATGTGCATGTGTACTAGCGTGCAGGTGATGTATGCAACGTGGCGCAAGTTAACAGAATGGCATATCATCATGTCGTGTAGTGTATTGCACCACATATCATATTGCGTGGCATGGCATGAGATGTTATGGCTCGGTATGTGCGCGTATTGTGCATGAGGGGGGCTGCGCCAGTGGGCTTGTCCGGAGCGACGCCAGCGTTGCTCAACATCAGCCTGTTCTCAACATGGGTTCATGCTTTGCGGAAGGCTGCGATGTATTACATGGGACCGGAAGCGGGAAAGCAGACAGAATTTATGCATATTGGAAAAGAGCTTGCAAACACACCCGCTGGCTGTTCGTGCGCGCGGGTGTGACCCTGGATCTTTGCACTCACAAACTAGAATGGGTGTGTCTTTTTGGGAAACCCCTTCTTGCTTGGTTGCAGAGGGAAACCAAAAGGAAACACCCAATTTGGGGATGCCCCTGTGTTGAAACACCCATTTTGGGGATGACGGGATGCCCCTATTTTGAAACAGCCCCAATGGTTGGCCTTGAGCAACGCTCATTGCGCAACTTGATTCAGAGAGACCGGGCTGGGCTTACCCAAGATTGCGCGTGTCCGAAACCGGGACACAACAGCAAACCCAAGTGCCGACTTGCGACGCGCGCCAAGCGACTCGCCAGGAGCATCTTAGGGAAGTGGCCATCAACCAGAAGCCGCAGGTGGTGATAATCGTCTGGACCCCGGAGGGAACAAGGGGACCCCTTCGTTTCCAGCCCCAAACCAATTTGCTGACCTGCTGTTTGCCTGGCTTATGGGTCCAAAAAACAGGGCGGGGCTGAAAATAGGGTCCCCGATTGGGAAGCAACCTGCTTTTCGGAGCCCGATCCGGTTTTGACTCCCGGCTTTGCCGTGTTGTTTATTTTGACGTTACACATCTTGCCTTGTTGTGGTTGCTGAACCAAAAATGATCCATCGGGGGTCAACAAACAGACCTCGCCCCCAGACCCGGCCAACTTCCAAGCAGTGCCATGAATTCTATTGCGGACCCCCTACGTGGCTGGTGGACAGCAATTTTCACTGACACGATGTCCACAGGGTCTCCTATTCCAATAGCCAACTTGGCTTCTCTTACCGTGTTGACTTCCTATCAATCACCAGTTTATATTAATACGGGGTGGGCATGAATTGGCCATCCTATGAAACCAAACTTCTCTCTCTTTTTTTGGAACGTCTAAACATTCGTCCAGAGCTCCGCTCGTAAGTCGCTGGAGCTTTGGCTCCACTCCCCAAGCTCCCATCCATCGATCCCAGGCGTTGAGTCTGGGCAACGAGGCGGGAGCTGAGTCTGGGCTCAAGATGGACCCCACCGCACCGCAGCGGATTTGGGTCCTTTCCATTTACAGGGATTTGTTGTTAGGCCGTTTTGGTTAAATGTGATTGACCCTAAACCTGATGGGATCCGATGATCCGATCCCCACCTCCAGCATTTGTTTAGGGTTTCAAGGGGTCTTAAGCCTCGACTGGTGCGGCGCGGATTGCGTGAATCCGCGGTATTGTTGCCAGCTTATACCATGGGGATCCAGACTTAAGACACAGGGGGTACACACGAAGATTGAAGATGTATGAAGACCGAATCAATGTGGGGGTGAATTTTAACTGTGAGGTGGTTTCCTGTTGAAATTCATGACCGTGTTGGAGTTATTTCTGTTCTTTTGCCTCGCATATGGGTTCGTCTCAAGAATGGGGTACCATCTGAATTGGTGGTTGTCTTTGCGTTGCCCTTAGCAGCCACTCAGAAAAGGGTATACCCACACCGGACCCACCCCCAACTTCTTCTGCGTTCGCCTCTCGCCGGGCCTCTTTACGACCCTCACTCCGAGCGGTGCGGAGAATCGCCGGTTTCGCAGGGCCTGGCGCACTGTCCGAAGGGCGAGCGCCGGGCTGCGCAGCACAGATTTGAGCAAGGCCGCTCCCGGGGAGAGATGTAGGGTTCAAAGGTATTTGAGGGTTCTCTCTTTCCTGTTTAAAGTTGTGTTTGTGGAAAGGCCTACACAACAATAGCCGTCTCAGAACCAAAAGTCAATGGTTTTTTTTGGGTGCTGCTTGGGTTCATGAGAGCTCGCTGCAGGTGCACAAAGCGCCGATGCTTCAGGGTTATGCCAATTGGGTGGCCTTCAGGTTCCCATGATGACCCAATAAGACACCTCTAGGAGGGTTGTTCAAAAGGTAGAGTCCGGGAATGTCCAAAACCCCTGGCCGTTTTTCCCTTTTGGGGGAAGTTAGAAATCATTGGCTACCTGGCACCCAGGTTACCCACGCCACCAGGCAATTATTGTGTTTTATTTGGCCGCCTGCTTTTAGGGTATTGGTTTTCGAGGGTTCTGCAAAACGCACTCGTGTCCCCGGGGGGGGGGAAGCATTGTCTGCCTGTTTTGCGGCCAGCTCACTTGAAGTGGTGGGTTTCCAGCTCAGGCGTTGATATGGCCATGGGTCATAACCTATGCCTCCATTTTGTGGCAGATGAACACCCATGTACCACCTATTTTGATGTTCACCAGGGGTTTCCTGGGTTTTGACCCACAGCCATATGAAAGTGGCAGAATCAGAACCATACGTGTCCTTTTTGGTTGTTTTGGTCGAAAGATAGATGGCACTGGTTTACCTGGTGGTTTAATCATCTACCAGGGCCCCTTTTTCCGTATTTTCCCAGTGGCAAAACTGGCTGAACTTCCCCAGAATTAGTTCCTTTTTTTCCGCTTTTTTGGGGTTCCCTTTGTTTTCCCCGAATTCCAGGCAAAAAAAATATAAAAGAAAATGCTGGGGTCCTAAAGCTCCAGCCAAGTGAAAACACGGGCGGCGAGGCCTGCTGGACTTGATCTCCATGGTGCTGGAGATGGACGCCATGCCCATCCTGGGAGGCTTTGGCGCATTTTGCCCAGGGATGTCAACTAATGTTGACCAATGGGTTGCATTCTTGTACGGTGCATTTTTGCATTTTGCTTGGCAATTGGCGGATTCAACAGATTTAACAGAAGGGTTGGCCGAAGACGTTTTGGGTTTTGGATCACACATTTCCTTTGGCGCATTTCGCAGACGGGATGTGGTTTTGTCTGCCGCTGTGCTCGAAACAAGCACGGGCTATTGCTCAAAAAGTCTGACAGCCCCAAACTCATACCGGGTGTACTTTGGTGCATTTTGCCAAGGGATGTTAGGACTGGAAAACTTTTTGTCAACTAAACATCCAAGGGATTGGTTTTAATGAGTGGCAACTTGGTAGTAGGGTGTTAACTTTTTGTCAATTAAACTTGGCTTTAATTTTTGCTAGGGTTTTCCGTATTAAACCCACTAAAATAGCTAAGCTTTTAGCAGGGCAGCAGAGTTAGCAACCGAGGAGGGGTGTACCCCAACAACGACTACGACCTGGAGACCTATGCCATGCTCCAGGAGTACGGAGTGAGTCCCCAAATCCCCCCTTAGTCCCCGTGAAAACGGGCCGAAAGGCAGAGATCACCCATGTACCATCTATTTTGATGTTCACCACAATTTTCCAGGTTTTGACCCACATATTAATGAAAGTGGCAGACTCCGAACCATAGGGGTCCTTTTTGGTTGTTTTGCTAGAAACATAGCATGGCGATTCCTCAGGTGGTTTCATCATCTACCAATGGAAACCCATCTCTATTTCCCCTAAAAGGACAGTTATGGCAGAGATGTCTTTTTTAGAAGAGGAGCCGGTTGATATATGAATAAGCTGGGTGAATGTGGGGCGAATCCCATTTGAGAGGCTGGGTCAGTTGGGTTGGACGTAGATGGGCCTAGTCTCAGTTGGACCTTTGGGGGGCTACAGAATAACAAAAAGCCGGAGAAGCTCATTTGCCCGGCCGGATGTGCTGCCTTAGGTTGCAGGTAGGAACCGCTTCGACGGCTTCCCCAGAGATCTAGCGGACACCTTTACGCGTATGATGCAGCTCTGGTCAGTTTTCAGCACGGAACTCCAAATGTGCCAAATTGCGCCCATAGGCATCCACTTGAGGTGATTTGGCTAGAAATAGATGGCACTGGTTCAGGTTGGTTGGATTCCATTGACCAGGAAAACCCATCTATTTTCCCAAAAAGGACACCTATGATTGCGCCTGGTTGCGATGTATATCGGGCATCGAGGAGACGGCCAGAACTATGGCGACCTGGGACGTGCCGATCTTCGATTGGCTCTCGGCTTTGGACGATGGGTGCGCGCCTGAGTGCCTTTTCCACGGGCGGGAGGGCAGGAGCCACACCCTTTTGCCCCGCTGCCTTGCCCGGAATTGTTGTATAGTTGTGTTTTTCTCCAAAGGAAACCGGGGGGGAAAACATAGATACCTTCCCAAAAGCAAACATAGAAAACCTGCGCAGAAACAGGTTCGTTGTGTGTTGGGACACAGTTTTTCCCAGATCTACCGGGCTCACCCGGTCGAAACCGCCGGTCGCTTTGTGGGAGTCTTGTGGTCTCCTGCCTGCGATGCAACACGAATACACGGGGGAGATGCTCCAACTCCAAATCTGAGCTATCGCCAAATATGGCCGTGGAGCAAAACGACTGGTACCATTTCATGGTTGGTGCACCACCCATTTTTAGTCCATTCTAGTGGGGATTGGGATGTTCACTGCGGGTACGGGATTTTGACCGATCCCATAGGGCTGTGGGGCAAAAATAGTTTGTAACCCCGAAATGGCTTGCCCTGGCAAAGGGAAACAAGGAAGAATACCTGCGGTCCGATTCTTGGTGATTTTTGATTTTGACCCATACCCATATGGCAAGCTGTATGGCTTTATACCATCACTGGAGGACCGGCAACATGGTGCGGACCTGGAAGAAAAATTAGACAACTTTGAGCTCGTTGCTGTGGTCGAGCTGTTTCTCGAATAGCATGTTTGGGTTGCTCCCACTCTGGCACGAATCGAAGCACGGTAGACACTTGGTCCTGCGTTTTTCTTTCAAGTTTCCGGTTGTTCCCATTCTTCCTTTTCTTGAAGGAAGTGGACAATTGGTCGCACCAAGCTGCTACCCCCGCGAGTCTTTGGCTCTTCGCGTTTGTTGGATTCGGCGGAGTGCAGGCGCGGCCGCTGGAAGGACTGCCGGTGAGATTGGGGTTGGCTAGCCCGCCGCCTATTCATGTGAAGGCCAAACGGGTGGCAAGGACTACGTTTGGCCGCTCGAGTCTCTTTTTGTTGTTGTTTACATCTTGATGCAAGGGCTTGGCTGTGGATGTGTTGAATCTGCAATTAATTGAGAATGATGTGATGCATTCAGAGCTATCTCAGTGTTTCCTCTTGTTAAACGCAAGTGCGGATGATCTGCCTTGCGTGATTCCAACCCAATGTTTGCACTCCGCAGGAAGGCCTTTTCTTCGATCATGCGCACCCCAATTCCGAGGCCGGCCGGGGTGGTTTGCGCAAAGCATTTTCTGGATCGGAGATCCAGTTTTGTGGCCAACTTGGCAATCCATTAAAACAAGGACAATGGCCCCTCGACAGGGAAAACAAGACAAGGTCGTGCAAACAATTAGCGGGTTCAACTGATTTAAACAGAAGGGTTGGCCGAAGACGTTTTTGGGTTTTGGATCACACATTTCCTTTGGTGCATGTTGCTTGGATGTTAGGACTTCAACTTTTTGCCAACTGCTGGGTTTTCCGTACTAAACCACTAAAAGTTAATCACTTTTAGCAGGGGTACAGAAAGCAACAGAGAACAAAACAAGGTTGTTCAAGCAATTCGTGGTTCAACCGATTCAAACAGAAGAGTTGGCCGAACACGTTTTGGGTTTTGGCACACATTTCAACAAAGGCTTGGGTCACAAAACCTCGGCGGTTGTTGCAGGGCCAGCTGCGCATGTTCGAGAGAATCGACCTGAGCCTCTTCGACACCAGCCAAGATCTACCGGAGCTGGTACGGCGCAGGAGCCTTTGGGTTGCCGAGGGCCGAGGGTTCGGTTGTTTTTTGTGTGGGTATGACGTTAAATACCGAGGCTATTTGCAGAGACAATCGGCTTTTTGTGGGTATGACGTCAACTGCCGACATTCAAAGGTATTGAGCATGGAAAGCCGTTTTTCAAAATGCGCCCCGAAAGAATTGGGTACTGTATCTGGAGTACGTAACTGTTTTTACAAACACATGCCCGGCCAACCGCCTCGCCTCTAAGCTCTAGCGCTTCGGCACAGGAGCAACATCCTGCATGTTTTTTTATGTTTCTCCGCAAAAAAACTTATGGGATCATGTTGCCAGCATGATGCCAGGAGCTTGTAGCATGCATTTCGAGCGGAGGTGTTTGGCAGAACAAGCGGGGGCTTTGGGGATGCGAGAGGGGTGGTGGTAGGGGGAAGGGTTGTTTTCAGCCCCTACCAAAAATAGAGCTCAGTTTACTTGTGCAGCAAATGTCCAGTATTCTCCAAGCAACCTTTGACCGGGTTTCCCGCAAAGCTGGCATGGGCACCCCCCGTTTTCAGAATCCTTGTTAATCTTGGCACGCTCATTCGGCTTCCTGGCTGGCATATGGGATTTATCTCATGTTTGGCCATGATGCCATGAGGTGGCTCGGAACATGGGAGGAGGGCTGACGACATATCCGGAAATTAGATAAAGTTTTGATTGGGCCGGAATCGGAAGCTTCATTTTTGCCCGAAAATGGTTCTGGCGAACGCGCATGTTGAGTATTGGATCCCGAAGATGCGCAGTAATCGGTGGACTTTGTGAATCAACTGTTGACATTGCCCAGTCTCACTCAGCATTGTGCAAACTTTGTTTAACTAGACCCTTGACCCCAGGGGAGACCATGTTGTGCAAACAGCTTGGTGGTTTAAACATGTTTCAAAGAAAGGATTAGCAACCCCGGCCATGTTTCTTGGAGCCCATTTGGCATACAAGAACATGAATCTTTGGCAGAGCCATACATGTTTCCTAGGAGAGACGTGTGAAAGACGGCTGTTTAACTCAGGAGCAGTTTGACTCAGCTCGACCTTCCGGAGCGTCGCACCAGCTACGGCTCCATGGACGAGGCGAGCCGCGAGCCGCGAGTCTCGTCGAGGCGAGCGTCGAGGCTGAAAGTTTGATTTGCGTTTCCGTGTTTGAGTTTTTTGAGGACCTCCAAAAATGCTTTACTTGGTCAACTATGGAGGGGTCGCCGAGTGCAGGACTTATCCTTCTGAACATGCTGCCCAAACTTAGGGAATTGTGTGGGCAAGGACAAGTGAGTGGAGGAATTCCCCTGACCAAGCTTGGGGCAGGCATCCTATGTCCAGTGCTGTCCGTCCAAGTGCTCGTGGAGAAACACCTTTGCCGTTGATGCATTTTGGCGTCTGGCAGACATTCCCAGAGGCATAGCTACTGTTCCTTACCCCATGCTTTGATGGGCCATACTCTTTTTCCGCCTTTCTTCGTCCTGCGGGAATGTCTTAAACTACGGAACCTCTTTTAAAATGTTTTACAAAGAAAAACCAAGAGAATACCTCATTGTGAGAAACGCCTCTGTGGACGGACACAACCCACGCCGGACCGGGATGATGAAATTGATTGACTGGTTGACAACCACCAATCCTGACAGATGCGTGGAGTTTGTCCATCCGCATGGATATGAAGACCCCTACAGAGTACCCTAAAGGGGGTTCTCCCGGCAAACCAAAAGGAAGCCACCTGTTTTGAGGGTCGTTTGAAACAAACCCACGTGAGCAGCGCCCAGTCCCGAGCAAGTTTTGGTGGTGCCTGGTTTTATGGGGGGGGGGCCGGGGGTGAGGGCAAAACACAATCGTTTTATCCGGGCTTTGTTGGGGAGAGGGGGAGGGTTGTGGGGGGTTCTATGGGTTCTGGCCCTAAACCCCATGGTAATACTACTATACGTCCCCAGGATTAGCTTCCGTTTTTCTTTTTTGTGATCCCCTTTGTTGTCCACTAACCCAGCAACAAACATATACATATATATATGTATATATATATACATTATACATCTATACATATATACGTATATATGTATATACATATACATATACATACATATATATATATACACACATATATATATATACATATATAAACATATATATATATATATATATATACATATACATATATATATATATATATATATATATATTTGCTGGGGTCCAGAAACTCCAGCCAAGCCAGCGGGTGGCCCCAAAGGCCCACCCAAACCGGAGCTCTCCTTCGGTTTCGGATTCGGCCAGGGGCTCCAGGTGCAGGACCCAGAGGGTCTGACTTGACTTGCTCTGGTTTCTTTGGTGCATTTTGCCCAGGGATGCTAGGACTGAACCACTTCTTGCCAACTTTTTTTGGTTTTCCGTATTCAACCACCAGAAGCTTTTTTTTTTTTTTAGCAGGGGTACAGAAAGCAACAGAGGTTTGCTAGGCAATGGGTTGGAACCCGCGGGTGCAAGCCCTCCCCGATTTTTGGTTTTCATGAAGGGATTCTTTTTAGGTTCAATTCCCTAGCCATCGCACTTCAGCAAGCAACGAAGACGTGGTGAAAAGCAAATGGTGGATCCAAAGGCCTCATTGTTGTTTAATGAACCAGAGATGGGCATTGGAGTGTTGGTTGCACAATTGCCAGTTTAAAGCTCCAAAGGTCATCTTGAGACGTCGCTCAGGTCTGCCCGTAGGCTGGAAAGTGAAGTCTGTATCGATACCTTTGAGGGATTTTGGTGCAGAGAATCAGTACCAGCCTGGCAGGGGTTCTGGACCGACCGTTTTTGTAGTGAGTCGGAAGCCCAATCGGCCCATTTCCTATTGGTGTGGTTGGGGAAGCTGTTTGCCTAATTCGGGGTTGTGCACTCGGGGCTTATCCCCACTTCTGTGATACAAAGGAATCTACCCTTTAACAAAGGGGGGGTTCTTGGGGAAGCTGGTCATGTCCCACAACCCTGGGGCCTACTTGATTGGCGTGCTCTCTGAAATCGCATTTTTTATCCAGGATTTGGATGCTGAGCGAGTTTTTGCTAGAGCCAGGTCAAATCACCTGCAACACATGCCAACTCAGCCCGCACTCCAAATGACTAGCTACCATCAGACCGATTGCAGGGTGGTCCCATCCTAGATATTGTTCCTTCGAAACATGTGTGTGTTTTTTCAGAGACATGGCATTTTCTCTTGCCAAACGGGTCCCCACGGAGGTTTCGACCGTCTACCAACTTTGTTGGTTGGGAGGGTGCCCCCACTAAAACAGACTACAGAAAGAAGTTGGTACCCTTCTAGCTTCTCTACTCGAGCACCTGGATGTTGAAACACCTATTGCCCACGCAACCTCAGTTTGGGCAACCTCAGTTTGGTTCCGTTTCAAGACATGTTCCGCCAGGAAAGTGCGCAAGGCCTATAAGTCGGGCTGAAAAACACAACAAGGATCGGTCGTTCGAGTGTCATGAAACTTGCGTGTTTCTATGCCATTTGCACCAATCAAAACCTGGGTTTACGGCTAGTCTCATCCATGCGGATGTCGGATGTCGGCCCTTCTACAAAGGGTACCAGGTTTTGAATGTTGACCCCATATCAATCAACCCCAGTTTAGGGACAAACTCCTGCACCACCCAAGAGACCATGGAATGATGATTGGCCTGTAAATACCAACAAACAATGGTTTCAACCATGGTCTCAAAGTGGTGCGGGATTTTGTCCATGCACAGAATTAATCAACCTCAGTTCCTGCACATGGGGGCGTCCGTGGGTGAAATGTGGGGAATCATCACTTTTGAAGAGGGGAACACCCCCCTAGTAATAAACTGGGGTTGATTGATATGGGGGTCGACATTCCTCACTGAAAATGAGGTTCGATGGCCTGACCGAGGCCTCGCAGCGGGAGGAGTCGGAGGCGCAGGGCGCGGTGGTGGGCCCCCCCATCTTCGAGGAAGGGACGCGGTGGTGGTCGGGGGATTCGTGGTCGGGGCTTGGGCATACCATATTCGCGGTGGGGTTTTACGTCCACCAGCCATCTTGACGCTCCAAATTGAAATTCAGCCAGTTGTGCACGGGCGCCCTCTAAATATCTTTTTGTTGATCGACCGCCCCTCTAAAAGCGGTAATGAGTTTTTTTTTGGGGGGTTACACTAGAAACCAATGCGACCACTTGGGCTCCCGGTTGGGCTTCGACCAACTTGTCGCCACGTTTCACCCGTGAATACCCGCGAGGGGAGGGCCACTTTTGGAGCTGATTGCAGGACGGCCGGGGCTTCTCGGTGGTCGTGTGCAGAGGTGCAATTAGCATCCGCCTGCAACTCAGACCTGTGGTCTTCAATAATTTTGACCCAGGATTCGTAAGGTTGATCAATAAAACGGTGTCCCAAAGCTTTGTGCGGATCTGAAAGAAAAATCCTCCCCTATTCCCCCCCAGCCCCACAAAAGGCACCCCCCACCAAAAAAAAGCTTTGAAGGGCTTGAAGCCTTAGGCCCTCAGAGCTGTCACTTGGGGGTTGTTTGGGCGCCCAGTCTGCAAAGGGGGGCCGCGCATTTGTGTGTGTGTGTGTGTGATGGTGGGCTCTGCACCTGCGCGGGTGGGCAAAGATGGGACCCCTCTGCCACAATGGCTTTCTCGTGTGTGTGTGTTTTTTTTGCGGCTTCAACTGGTCAGTTTTCCTCTTCAGCGACCTGAGGCAACAAGACCGAGCATGAGTACATCCTTTCCCCTGCATGGAAGGAGGGGGGGCCGCGGGAAAAGAGGAACTGGTGGGTGGGCCTTTTTTGTGCCGCGGGTTGGCTTTACAAGGAAGCCAAAAGGCAAACGCACATTTTGACTGAGGCAGCCCTTAAAAAAAGACGCTTGTTCGTTTAGATGGGTTGCTCCAAAGAGAATCCCTAATCAACCATCAAACTGCCCGCTGCTTTTGATCCTCGCACGGAACCGGTCAGGTTTCTCGACTGCCTTCCAGCTTCCTCGGATTCCACAGGACATTCCAGGGATTCTCAAACAACTTATGGGTATGGGTCAGCATTAAACCACTAGGGGACCGCAGGTTTTAGTCCATGTTTCCATTTGCCAGGTTCCATTTGGGTACCTATGTTTGACCCACATCCATATTTTAGGGGTTGCTTTCCTTAACGCTACCATTTTGCGCGTGATTTTGTGGATTGATTGAACGGACCTGCATCAGTTCCGGGCCGGGCTTCCTCCCGTTTAGCGCAGGCAACACCTAGGTGTGTTTGGGATCCTTGTTCTCCAATCGCAAGCTATAGTGAGGTTTTGCTTAGACGGCGATGACTTTTCTCACAATACGACCTTGCAAAAAAAGTGCCTTGGCTGCAAACATGGCCCGGCGTTGCCTACACCGATGCACACCGAGACTCTGAGGGAGTCCCTACTGGGTGCTTGCACGGGGCTGACTTTTGCAGAACATGCTCTCAGTGGGCATCCCTGTGCAGAGTCAACTTGCAGAGAGCTTGTCCTAGTCAGAAGAAGAAAAGCTTCCGGTGGAACAGGTACCAGGCAGGGAGGGGCCTGAAGAATCCTCTTTCTGTGCTATACCTCAATACATACCCGTTTCATAGTTGTTACATACCTCGCTACATACCCAAGCGGAAAAGACGTGCTTTTCAAGCTGGAGCTGCCAAAGCGCATTTTGGCACTACACTTGTACGACAAGTTGTGCTTTTTTGAGCCGGAGCCACCCAAAGTGTGCCTTGAAAGCGGACACCAAACACAAACTGAAACCACTTGCATCATATGTTGCATGAAGCTGACGTACCAATGAAGGCATGGACATGTGGATCATGGGGCAAGGAAATGTGGATCATAGGGGGCAGCATATATATATATATATATACATATATATATATATACACACACATGCGTATGCACTATACGCATGCATATGAACCAGGCTTGCGCCGCCGCTTGAGTGGGTAAGTTTGCTATTGTGGTGCCGTAAAGTACCGAATTCCCCGCCTGGGTGGTGCAGTCTAGGTGTGGAGAAGAGGGAGCCTGGGCAGCGCCCTTCGCGTAGATCAGTGATCGCTTTGGCATAAATTCACGAACCTCGGGCGTTCTTTTCAAAGACCAGCCATTTCCCAGGGTTTGTGATGGTGTTCCAGAAAGAAGGATCCCTGGAAAGCATGGGGAAGCTCACCCTAGAATTGCGGGGGGCCACCTTTTTCAGGTAAAGGGTTTTTGATGTTCTGACCACCACCCGGCGATCTCTTCCCGGGTGGCCCATACACAGCGTCGCATGCTCTGGCCTTATGAGGTTTTCCCTTGCTGGCATTCAAGTAAGTAATTGGGGAGTCGCACTCCGAGCCTCACCTTTCGATTGGGTGATATTCAAAGGCGAGATATAGGCAACTCTGGACACCAGCATGTTTTGCTGCAAGCTGAGTGGTTGGAACTCTGACTTGGGATGCCAGCATGTTTTGCTGCAAACTGTGTGGTTGGACCTTTTACATTCGACCTATTGGGAATATGTGTGCTTCCCCCCCAACGCACACCGACAACCTTGATCTGTGTCTCCCACTAGCCACCAACGAGCGGAGAACTTTTCGAGCAAGGGGCGGTACGATTAATTCCTAAACACCGGTAGACCAAGCACCTCCACCTGCAGAACTTCGCTGGCAAGTTTCGAGGCTTCCCTTGTCTCCCGGGTCAACGTTTGGTACCATCTGAAATATGGGTTTACTTCCCAAATGATGTCGCTAGCAAAGGCTTATTTCCCGAGCATTGACCAAGTTTCCCTACCCCGGCCCTTGCATTTAGGGCATCGGCCGCCTGGGATTCGAACTTCCCTGAGGAGCTCTCTGACGCTCTCGCGGGCGGCGTGCGCCCTGGAATTTACGTGTCCAATGACGAAGCCCGGCTAAATTAGAAGGGTCGATTGGGCGACTCAGGGTACCTTCTGAATAAACTTGGTGGCTCCCAGCCATCCGGTTCCTTAGCTTTTAGGATCCTTTTAGTGTTTAGCGGTAGTTTCCATTTAACCCACTAAAAGTTAAACTGTTAGCGGGGGACCCATTTAGCTTTTAGGGGGCTCTTAGGGAACTCCAATTATTGGTTTCACGTTGACTCCCCTTCAAAGTCTTCTCGGCAAGGTTCAATTCGCTTTGACAACCTCAAGGGCAAGTGTCCAATTTTGAAGCCACGGGACAACTGTAAATTGCCGTGGGCACGCTAACGCATCACAAACAGGTTTCAAGGTGGCTGCGACCAACTTTTTACTTTGGGCTTTCCCCGCAGACCGTCTTGGGCCGGAAAGGGCTGCACTGCTGAGCCAAAATCCGACGGTTTTGAGGTGCACTGCTTGCCTGGTCTCACTTGGACAAAGTGGATCTCTATATTTGTCTACCCGCATATATACGACAACAAATACAAGGGGACCCAAAGACAAACATGCAAGCATAATGAGATACACACAACCAGATATCCAAACAAACACATGCATACCTGCAGACATGCAGACCTCAGACTCGAGAGAGAGAGAGACAGTCAGAGGCAGAGACAGAGAGAGGCGGAGAGAGAGAGAGAGAGAGGAGAGAGCGAGAGAGATAGAGCGAGAGAGACAGATAGGCACAGACAGACAGAGACAGACGTAAATTGGAGTGGCTAGAGGGCCTACGCTGCAACCACTACCCTCTATTGAACACTCATGGAAGTGGACAGGAGGCGGTTGGAAGACTTTAAGATGACAGTAGTCTTCCAACCCCCTGTCCACTTCCATGATTCAATAGAGGGTAGTGGTAAGTGCTCTCCTTGCACCTTAGGATTGACCCCCCCCCATTGCTTGTCTTTCAGTTTGTCCAAAAGGAAGCCAGACTGTGAAGAAAGTTTTCCTTGTCTCTACTTATTACCAAACATGCTCAGTCGCTCAAAGGGGACGATAGCGTGGCGAGGAAGTTCCGCCTCTGTTCCATCTCTTGTTCCGCGAGGGTCCTTTTCTTGGCATTGACCAAAATGGACGGGGGTCAACCAACCAAGGGTTCCCGACCAAGGGTTCCCGTCTACCACAGGACCAAATCCAGATACCACTAAATCCCGTCAAACAAGTGACAAGGTAGTGATAGGGATGGCACATTGTTTGGTAGTGTATCACGGAATGGTGGTTTACCACAAGGATGCTAGGCATTTATCCACACATCCTCCTTCTATTGGCACCGCCATGACTCGAGCCAAGGAATGCTGCGAGAACAGTCGTGTGCTTTTCGTAAGCCATGAACGGCGTTTAACGCGAAGGCCCGGGAGGGCAATCAAATGTCTGGAGAAATTCGGGAAAGTACAACAATATGATACCAACATGGAGGGGTTCCCAAATTTTGAGACACGTGTCGTTTTTGTTTCTTCTTTTTTTTTATCTTGGTGGTTTTGAGTTAGGGACGCCGGCTGGCGTCAACGCAGGCTGGTGCTACCGCCTTCTGCAGATGCTCTTTACCTTCCCTCCTTCTTCAGCAGCGGGCAAGACCGCCACCTGTCAGCCCGTCGGGCGCAGGATTTCATTTTTTTCAGATCCAGGATTTTCTTGTTGGTTCCTTTTAGCCCCATAAAGAGGGGGTATCTTCAAGAAAAGACACGCCCTCATCAAGCTCAAAAAGTGGGGGTTGCTTGAAAATGATTGCGTCTTGGGCGCAGTGTCCTGCAAAGTAAGCCCTTGCTTGACGGCTTGTTGTCGAGTGCAAACAGACAATTCACAGATGTTGGGATTCGGTCCACCCAAAACATCTATGTGCAGAGCTCAAGCTCGTTTCCCTCAAGAAAGCTGTGTGTGTGTGGGTGGGTGGTGGGTGGGTGGGTGGGTGGGTGGGTGGGTGTGCGGGTGGGTGTGTGGGTGCGGGTGTACGTGTGCGGGTGGGGGTGCGGGTGCGTGCGCGTGCGCAGCCTCAAGCATTTGACGGGGGCAACGCAACCCAATTCCTTTTGTTTGAAGGGACACCGACAGGAGAGCAATTTGGTCCCCGTGGAAATTCAGAGCTAAATCCACGCGTGGGTTGCTTCCAGTTTGTTTTGAGGGGTTTCCCTGAAAACCTACTACTCAGGCAACTCCTAATTGGTGGTTTGGGTTGGTGGTCTTGGCGATTCGACCCCTGGTTCCTGTAGACTTAAATGGGACATTAATCCAAACCACCAATTGGAAGGAAGCTGAACTACCAGAAGAAGAGCGCCTTTTTGGTGGAAGTCTACTTGTGGTTTGGGTAACTAGCCTCAAAGTGGGTAGCGCGGAGCTCCAATTTCCGGGGTAGTCTACATGAGCGCGTTCCTTGTTTGTCGCTTGGTTCCGTTTTTTGGGAGGGGTTGTACAGGCAAACCAAGAGGAAGTCATTTCATGTTGGGGTCCCTCTATTTAACCCAAAGCAAGCCAACCACCAATATGTAATTTGTCAATTTTATCAAGACCCCGTATGTGGCACCCAGCTACTGTTTGTTTGAGGAGGACGAGAAAGGGGAGACGCGCCCCAATAATTCCATGTCCTCTTAGGAAACATTCGTAATTTGGTCCGAGGCTTATGTCCGCTTGTTTTCGGAATCGATTGCGATGCGTAAAGGTACTTTTCAAAACACAAGCTCTTGTGTGAGAGTCAGCGTGGCATTTGAAGGAGACGTGGCAAAGCAACGTGGGATGAGGGATAGCTTTTTCACTAGCCTTTTCCAGGGTGGTACCGGTCAATTGGTTGGTTGCTTGCTTGCTTGTGTTGCTTTGCTTTGCCATGCATTGCCTTGTTTTGCCTTGCCCTGCAAGTGCCTCGCCTTTGCCTGCGTGCTTGCGGGTGCTTGCTCGCGTGCTTGCTCGCTTACTTTGAAAAGGCTTCAAGGCGTGCTTCATTGAGCGGTCTGGGATCGGACAATCACGACTCAGTCCCGGCACAGCCAGGTCAAAACCAATGGCACCAGTTTGGAGTAGGTGCACCACCCATTTTAGTCCATTTTAGTGGGGATTGGGATGTTCACTGGGGGTACGGGATTTTGACGCATTGCCACGTGATGAAACACACTTTGCTCTTGAATCGATCGTAATGGTTACAACTGATTAGTTAACCCCCCCCCCCCTCCTCCCCCTCTTCTGACAAGTCCCCAAATGTGATATTTTTTGGAGGACCCCCGTGATGAATCTGCAGCCCCTTCGGTCCTCGTCCCTCTTGCTTCTGGTCCCTTCTGGGCTAGGACTTTAAATGGCAACATCATTTTTTTGTTTTGAGCCCAAAAGGGCCCTGATTAATCGCGGGGGGGTTCTGTTAATGAGGGGGCTGGCCTCCAGGGGGCGTCCCCTCTGCGAGCTTGAACACCTTTTCATTTTAAGAAACACTTAACAAATTGGGGGAAGCTCATTTTTGGGGAAACTTGAGTGGTTCAATAGTGACTTAGTATTGGTGGGTTTCAGGACAAACAATGCAAACTTTAGAGCCTCCGGCTCAGTCCGCCGACATTGTCCTCTCCCTTTTCTCCCGCTTCCTCTCTCTCTTGTCTCCTCCCCCGTGTGTTCTCTCGTCCTCTCTCCCTCCCTCTGCTCCCCATCCGCCCCATCCCCCCAAGCCTCCCTCTCCGCAATCTCCCTCTCTCTGTCTCTCTCTCTCTCTCTCTCTCTCTCTCTCTCTCTCTCTCTCTCTCTCTCTCTCTCTCTCTCTCTCTCTGCTTCTCTGTCTCTTTCTGTCTTTTTCTGTCTCCCTGTCTCCTTCCTGTCCACGCCGCTGTGCAGAAAAAAAGGGTACCCTTATTCTAACCTCTCTACTGGAGGACCTAGTCTCTCTCTCTCTCTCTCTCTCTTTCTCGCTGGTTATCGCTGTCTCTTTCTCTCTTTCTCTCTCTCTCTCTCTCTTTCTGTCTCTCTGCCTTTCTGTGTCTCTCTCTCTCTCTCTCTTTCTCGCTCTCTGTGTCTCTCTCTCTCTCTCTCTCCCTCTCTCTCCCCCTCTCTCTCTCTCTCTCTCTCTCGCTCTCTCTGCTTCTCTGTCTCTTTCTGTCTCCCTGTCTCCTTCCTGTCCACGCCGCTGTGCAGAAAAAAGGGTACCCTTACTGTAACCTCTCTACTGGAGGACCTAGTCTCTCTCTCTCTCTCTCTCTCTGATTCTCTGTCTCTTTCTGTCTCCCTGTCTCCTTCCTGTCCACGCCGCTGTGCAGAAAAAAGGGTACCCTTATTCTAACCTGTCTACTGGAGGACCTAGTCTCTCTCTCTCTCTCTCTCTCTCTCTCTCTCTCTTTCTCTCTCTCTTTCTGGATTTTTCTCGCTGTCTCTCTCTCTCTCTCTCTCTGTCTCTCTGTCTTTCTGTGTGTTTCTCTCTTTCTCTCTCTCTCTCTCTTTCTCGCTCTCTGTGTCTCTCTCTCTCTGTCTCTCTCTCTCCCGCTCTCTCCCTGTCTCTCTCTCTGTCTCCCTCTCTCGCTCTCTCTGCATTGCAGCGTCACGTCCCCCCTGAGTTGCCTCGATCTCCAGGCACTGCCTCTTCATGACCCTGAACTGTCTGCTTACTACTGGCTTTCCCCTTCATTTCCCCTGCATGTCCTTTTCACGTTTCTCATGATGTCCTGGTCATGTCCCTTCCATGCCTCTCAACTCCCCCTTCGAGAGAATCTACGTCTTCAGCCCGAGTGTCAACATCGACGACGGGCTGGATCCCCGTCAAGAAGTACATCGAGCAGGACCTGGGGGTGAACACGGAGCGCGAGCAGGCCTACTGGGACGAGTGGGACGAGCCGGCCTTGCGCCGCATCATCCAGCAGCTGCGCAAGATCACGGAGGCGTCCAAAAAGTTGGAGATGAAGAAACTGTACCAGGTCCTGATAATAATTGACGACTACGCTGATAGCCCGCAGCTCCACAAGTCTCACGGCGCGCTGGACACGCTCTTCATCCGGGGCCGGCACATGCAGATCAGCACCTGGGTGCATGTCCCTGTCATTTTGTCGGTATGTCCGCTTCATTTTCCATGTATGTCCCGTTCTTTCGTTGTGAGTCATTTTTTTACATCTCCCGTCGTGCCGATTGGTTTCCTTGTCCTTTGTTTCCCTTTCATTCCCCCTGCGCTCGCCTTGTTTTCATTTCTGTCCCTTTCATGTTCCTTTCAGTTCCCCTTTGTTTCCCTTTCTTTCTTGTCATGTCGACTTCCTATTTCCTCCCCTCATTTCTTTGCACTTCCTTGCATTTCCCCTTTGCTCCCCAGTATCTCCCGCAAAAAAAACACGGGGTTTCCAGCGTTTTCGCACAGAGGACGTCAAAAACACAGAGTTTTTCCAGATTTTCGGCAAAAGGAGGCAGGACACCAAAACCAGCAAAGAGCCGGCAGGGGATTCGAGCCTGGGACCCCTGTTTTGCGACACTCTCCAAAGACTACGTTTAGTGGAACGTCATCAAATTACCGCGCGGCGCGTGGGGGACGGGTCCCCCCCCTACATATCGGGGTGTTAGGGGGGTCCTCTCTCCTTTCTTAGGTGTCCGACATGCCTCTGCAATGTCGGCGGAAACTAATGGCCCCCCTCCCTTCAAGGTTTGGACAAGTCCCAAAAATTGAGATTTTTGGGAGGGCCCCCCTGATTACTCTGGAGCCCCTTCGGTCCTCGTCCTCTTACTTCTGGTCCCTCCGGGGCAGTAGGGCAACAGCACATTTTTTGGGTTTGAGCAAAAGGGCCCTGATTAATCGCGGGGGGTTTCCTGTTAATGATGGGGGACTGGCCTCCAAGGAATGTCCCCTTTGTGAGCTTGAAAACCTTGTCATTTTAAACAAAAAAATAACTTAGAAAACTGCATTTCGGGGGAAGCACATTTTTGGGAAAAACTTGAGGGAAGAATGACTTAGCATTGGTGGGTTGAAGCGCAGACTAAGCAAATACCAAGCAAGAAGGAAAGCACCTTGTCTGGCAGGTTTTTGTTGGCTTGGGGGCTGCAGAGGGGTACCTTTAATCAGGGGGGGGGGGTTTGGCCCAAAAATAATTGGGTAGGGTTTTTTGGGGAAACCTTGTTGGCACTTTACTTTAGTATTGGTGAGAATCTGGGGGGGAAAAGGGAGAACCTTTAATCGGGGGGGGGGGGTTACTAATCGTCTCCTGACATTAAGCAAAAGGAAGAGCCCCTTTTCTGGCAGGCTGCTTTGGCTTCTGGGCTGCAGGGGGATACCTTAGTCAGGGCGGGTTTTGAGGAGACACGAAAATATATTGAGTAGGGTGATTTGGGCAAACCTTGTTGGCCCTGTACTTTAGTATTGGTGGGAATCTGGCAGGGAAGGGGAGCCTTTAGTCGGGCGGGAGGGGTGGTGGTGTACTAATCGGATGTTGACATTAGGGCCCTTCAACTATCAACATGTTGTTGTCAAAGACTATCCTACATTCAGGCACTTGACGCATCCGCCACAGCATTTCCCAACCCCCAATCAATGTATTCCCAACCCCCAATCAATGTATAGTGAGGGGCCCACATCCTTGAAGGGAGGCCCTTCATACAAATTTCTATGGTTTCTCTGGGTAAAAGGAAGATCAAGAACACCCATACAATTTCCATGGTGTCCCATAGGCAAGGACAATGCATATGCATACTGCATTAGCCTCATGAAGCTGGCTAGCTCATACGCTCGCCGAACGCGTCCGAATCGAGGATAGCGCTAGCAGCGCCATCGGAGCCGCGCTTGAACTTCGAGGTGAAAGGTTTGCCTTTTTAATCATGGCCCGTTTTCGGGCTTGCTTGTTCTCTGGAATGTGGGGTTGTTCAAAAGGTCCTTTACATGGGATGACCAAATCAAGGAAACCACCAAAGATGACTTTCCCCTCTGAACGGGGAAGCTTATCCATGGTCATTTGTGTGGCCGAAGGGAATACTGATCAACCCCCACAGCACCAAAAAAAACGTGCGTGTGTTCTCCACTTCCGGCGGTTGGCTTAGGTTCCTTCCGACTTCAGAGATGGGCCTCCCTACCCCAAGCTCTATCAATCCCCACGGCAATGTGCGTGTGTGTTGTCTCCACTACCCTTCCCGGACCTCAGAGATGGGCCTCACCCCCAAAGTTCGATCACTCCTGAGCCAACTTCCGCTCAAAGAGTTCGGGGGATCCCTGTCGACAGACCGGGGCCAGAAGGTGACTGCGAGCTTCTGGGGCTTCAACAAGTCTTGGGGGTTGGTGCCATGTTTATATATATATATATATATTTCTTTCGGAGAGAAGGATCGCTTGGAAATAATAGGGATGCTTAGTTGCCCCCAAGCCAGCGGCACACACAGAGGCTTTGCAGTCTTGGAGTAGAGGCTTGGCAGCGAACTGGCTGGACCAGCCCGCTGGATACCAGCCTTCGTTCAGCTTCCCCTGCTTCCATTCGCCTAAGAATATTTGTTTATTTTCCTCTGTTGGTTTAAAGGGAATCTATCACTACTGGACATATTTTCTCATTTTTTCCAGGGGACTTAAGCAAAATAGGTGGTTTGGATAATTAGGGGGAAGCTGAGTCGTGGCACGGGCAAAGTACCAATTGGAACACATTTTCGAGGACAGAGATATGGGTATGGGTCAAAGTCAAGCCACCAGGGGACTGCAGGTTTTACGGCTTGGTTCCATTTACTTTGACCCACAGCCATATTGACCATGGCTGAAAGCTTTGGTTCCGCATACGTCCGTGAACAGATTGTTTAAGTGCCACGCACATGTCTCCCATGGAACGTCATGAAGACCATGCGCAACTTTTTGAACCCCAGGTCTCGGGGGCTTGGCTCAAACTGGAATTGGGGGCCACAATCCCCACCCTCAAAATGGAATTGGGGGAGGGAGGTGATATTTTTGGAATTCCATTTGTGGTGCCATTTTCCCTGTGAAGAGTATAAATGGAGTTGGGGGACCTCCCATCCCCCTCCCCCTTAAGGTAGGTGGGCCAGAAAGCTGGGTGACTTGAAGGGTAGGAATGGCGACTCGAGGGAGACTCGCAAAAACCAGGCACAAGATGGCACTCATAAAAGCGGCCTTTTGACCCAAGTGGAAAAGTGATGCCACCCTGTTGGCATGCCAGAGCTTGCGCCAGGTCGTTTTCTCGTTTTGGCGTCCAAGGAGAAATCGGTGCATTGAGAAAGAAAAAGCAAGAGCGCCGTGACCGAGTTCCTTCTTGGTTTGCAACAAGAGGGTCACTCCGAACCTCAAACTGCGAGGTCTGAAAGGCGTCCTTTTGATCGGTGAGTTTGGTCAACAATAGATGGGCTCCACTGGTTCAGATGGGTTTTGTTCCATTTACCAGGGAAAAATCATCTATCAATGTCCAAAAGGCCACCTATGCTGAAAGGTCTTAAATTGGATTGGGTCCTTTTGCGTTGGGCCAATTTCTACCCGATGTTCATCAACTGGAGCGACTGGATGACCACGACCTATGTAGGTATCGTTTTATTTGGGGGTCCCCAAACGGGTTGAATTCACGCGAAGTGCGTACATGACCGATTCGGGGGAGAACACGCGCTGTTCAGAAGCCACCGATTTCCGATGTGTCTTGGCCCATTTGCTGAACAGAAGGATAGGCTAGACATTTGGGTGTGTTGTTTCAGGGTATCCTTTTTGCCTTGGTTTAAAGTAAAACCAAAGAACCAATATATAGGGCATCCTTTTTGGGGTGGTTTTAAAGGAAACCACAAGGAAGACCACCATTGGTTGGTCCCCCTACAATATTGACGCCTACCCATTGAACATTCGTTGATTTCCCTCTTTCCAACAATGGAAGTGCACGCGGAGCTGCCAAAAAGCAAGGCAATCTTCCAAACCGTCGGCTTCCATTGTGAGGCTAAGAGGAGCTCGATCCGTGTTTCTATTCCCCCCCCTCCCCCAAAGACAAACAGCACGTGAATCGCGCCCCGGGAGTGCCGCCGGTTAGGCGCACCTCCGAACGCCGAGCGCCGCTTCGCGGGACGACACGTCCCCCAGAAGAGGCCTGTCCTTCAAGATGGATCTCATTTTTCCCCGACTGACACAGCAGCTACCAGAAGGCCACTGGAACTAAGTCTTCAGTTCCTGGAACCTGCCATTTTGAGGGGAGAAAAACAAAAACCGACGGGGGCGCGCCCCCGCTCGTGTTACCGGGTTTGTCACTAGTCACCGATGGACAAGCAAGTCGGCACCAGTTGGGATTGGCGGCTGTTCTTGCCGGGCTCATCCAAACCTGGTCTAGGACTTTGTCTTTTGGGTTTCCATGAGAGAGGGAGAGAAAGTGAGCGGGACGTTTTTTTCTTGTTGGCTCCCGAAGGCCATCCGGTCCGCTTTTTAGATCCTTTGGTGTTTAGTGGTAGTTTCCGAACTTAACCCACCGAAGGTTAAACTTTTAGCGGGGGATCTGAGCACAGTGAACCCGACCAAGGGGTGAGAGGTGGCGAGATTTTAGGTGGATGGCACGGGGAGCAATAAGGTTGAGACCCTCCTGAATGGCCCTTTTTGGGTGACTGATAGTCACAGGCTGCAGTGCCCCCCCCCGCGCTATGGTTTTGAAACAGTTGAGGTTTGGTCAACATTTCCGGTAGTCTTATGGTTCATGTTTTGAGTTATATGGGAGAACTCATTCAATTTCAACCCATCAAAACACGAGACAGACCGGTTGCCGTAATTTGTCCGTGTCCTCTTGGCGAAACATTTGCAATTTAGACCGTGGCTCAAATGGCATTGCCGGACCTAACTTGTGTTTTGCCCTTTGCCCTTCTGCGTTTCGTCGATTTTTCCATTTCACCCGCCGCTGTCACAGGGGATGTTCCTGGATGAGGGGAAGCTCTGGTGGTACTCATACGCCTTTTTTGGGCTGGGAAATCAAAGGGACATGACGGACATCGAGTACTGCGCATTTCCGGGGTTGGTTGATGTTGACGCCCCAAGACTACAGGGGGCTTCCCTTAGAGACCAACCCAAATTCAGATCGAGATGGTGCCAAGATCCTTCTCCAGTCTTTTTCTTGTGGTGATCGTTTGATGATAAGAGTCCCCACTCGTTGCATCACATTTTGGCCTAGTTGATGTCATGTTTTTTTTTCTCAAAAGCAACCAATTCCTCCAGGTTGGTTTCCTTTGCACCAGCATCCAAACAAGGTTCCATTTTGAGACAGACCCATGTGTGTGCTTTGTTGAGGATACCCTTCTTCAGGCTGGTTTAAAGAGAAACCACCACTTTTGGCGAGACCAAACCATATGGTGTCCTCCGAGAAAAAAAAAGAAGAAATCCATGGACCACGGTGCTGTGGGCCAGGGCTTGGAGCGGAGATTGTCATCCCGCCCTTCGCGCTCCCTGCAGGTTTTTGTCGTGGGTCGGAGTTCTTTTTTTCGAGGGCACCCACTCGGGGGTTGGCTTGGGAGATTTGAAGGTTTAGGGGTTCCCTATTTGGGTTAAATCTGGTGACTGGAAAGCATAAGACCTCAGCGATACGTGCCCGTAGAACGCAGATCGATAAGGAGTTGAAAAGCAATCGCCCAAAAGGCCATCGAAAAATGAAAACATGAAGGAGCTCTTTGTACAACTTCATCTGGTCTAATTTATGACTTGCGAAGCCAGCCAACCGTTGGAACATGTCGTGTTTTCTCCCCCGTTTTTGTTTGTTTGTTGCGAGATGTAGGCCCACCGAATCAGATTGGATCAAGTGAGGCGCGGTGCCGCTCAGCCAGGCCATGCGAGTGAATGGCCGAGGCAAGGAACCCAGGGCGATTTCCAAGACCCTTCGCTGGACAGAATACATGGGCATATCTGCAACCATGTTTGAGGGGTTCTGGGAATATGAACAATCGCAGCTAAATTCTATGTAGCTTTCAGTTTTCGCCTACAGTCTTGGCAGCATCAGCATGTTGGGGGGGATCTCGGTGCATGAAAGGCTCACGGAGGGAAATCGGTAGCCTGCTCAAAGAGTGGTTGTACAGCTGAAATGCACGGTAACCATTTAGTGAACACGTTTGGCCGCGTTTGTCTTTTTGTTCAGGCCACCGGTGCAGTCAGCCCTTAGCCACTTTCGGCTTTCGACTTGAGCAAGTTATATCGGGAAATCGTTTTGGGAACAGCCCTGACATTTGCACTTTGTCTTGAGGTAAGCCATTAACAGTCACTGTGAGACATTCCATAGAGAGTTGCTAAGTTCGTTCGTCCGCGACTCCCTGTCCAGCCCATAGACACACCCGGGCAATTATATGTATTATATAATGTTATATTGATATTATATTTGTATATTATATTATATGATATTCTTTCCAGGGGGCTTAAGCAAATGGAAGCACTGTGATGGCATTCAGCGATGCGCACTCACTCCGATGCGTCGTACAATCCGACGCCGGATTTCTGAGGCGCACCGGTGGAGTCGGACAAGTTCTGTGCAGAGGTCTGTCGCATGAGCAAGCACTGGGTTGTCTCTCCAATTGGTGCAGACACATACCCATTTCTCCCATTTGCTGAAATGCATATATGGTTGTTATTTTCCTTGGTTGGTGTCAACGGGAATCTACTCTGCTGAAGCATACGGTTATTATTTTCCCCGGTTGATGTTAAAGGGAATCTACCACTACCTTTTCTGTTTTCTTCTTTTTTCCAGGGGGCGGAAAAGCAAGTGGAAGACTTTAGAGGGTTCCTTTTGGGACCGCCCTCTCGCCTCTGCCCTTCGTTTTGGCGTTGAGGGGGATCCACAATTTCTCTCCAGGACTTGCGGCGAAACGCACACAGGCCGGGCACGCCCGTGTGTTGGTTGAGTCGCTTGTTGCTTGGTTCTCCCGACAATAGGGGAGGGTCATGATTCTGAAAAGGACGTGTCAAATATAGATGTTCCGATTCTTGGGAATTTTGTTGGGAGCTATATAGAATCCCTCCAAGATCCCGACAAGTTCATACCCTCGTAGTCTCCTTGAAGGCGATCCCCGTAGATTCCCTCCTGAGAACCAGCGAGTTGTGCAAGTGAGGGGCATTCGCTCCACTTGCATCGCTTTTAGGAGCGAGCCAACGGATTGGTTTGGGTATGGGTCAAAATACAACCACCAGGGGACCGCCGGTTTTAGTCTTTGGTTCCCTTTACCAGGGTTCCATTTTGGGTACGCATTTTTGACCCTAGCCGTTTGTGGAGTCACCGAAGTCTGCAACGTTTGGCTCGAAGCAAGGCTGGAGAGCCACACATAGACATGGCCCAGAGAGGGGCATTATGCAAGCGTCAGGGTTTGGGGGTCCATGCGCAGCCGAGAGAAATTAGAACCGGGCTTCCTTTTGACATCGATCAGTTGCCAGCATCCAAGATGTCTCCCTCATTTGGACGCAGCGTTTCCGGAGGTCTCATGCGTTGGCCATTGATCCTACGCCCGAACTACAGCTTGGCTTAGCTCAACCTTACCATTCACAGAAGACGCAAAACACGCAGTGGCTAGGTTTTGCCCGCAAGCTTTGGGGTCTCTGCTCAAAGACGCTCGCTATTGGTTGGGAGCGGCTCCGGGTCAGGGTTCCGGAAGGGTTGCGGGGTGTTGTTGGGGATATCACCTGAGTTCATTTACGGACACAAACCACATGAATCTATTTCTGTCCAAACTGCCTTGCTTTCAACGAAAAAAATGAGCGATTTTCCAGTAGTGGACGTACATACCCCTCGATCACACCCCCTTAGCGGAATGGGGAATGCCTAAACATCTCTCACTTCCTAAGTTTCTATAGACTTTAGTCACTTTTTGGATTTGGACCATTTTGGCGGTAAATCAAAGGTGCCTGGTTATGGCCTATGGGCCCTGCAACTTGTCGGTGCTCAGTAGGGAATGAGAAACGGACTGAGCCGTTTTGGGATTCCCGAACAAAGGAACCCACAACAGTTAGATGGTTTAACTCGGGGTCATTCCAACGCATTCCCCGCCTATCGCAGCGAATCCGTCCGAATCCGTCCGAAACCTCCCGCCGCATCCATGGCACTGGCCGGCCTGGGCCGCGCCGCCCGCGCCCACGCGGTGGCCTTCTTCGGCAACGACCTGCAGGCTGGAAGCCCACTTCATGGTTGTTGTTGGGACACATTTTTCCCCATTTTTGCCGAATGTGGTTTGGTGGTTGAAATCAATCCCCTTTTTGAACTGCTAAGATTTAATTCTTTGCTCCCCTTCCAACGTCAACCAAGAGACGAGTTGGTCTGAATTTTGAATCTAAGTTTTTTCAGCCCTTTTGGGATCTGCTTTCCAGCCTCAACCTCCCCAGACGCCATGCCGACGCAAGGTTTCAATTGCCGGGTATTAAGGAAACTGCATGGCAGATTAGAGGCCAGAAGGTTTGACCAGTTTAGACGCTTTTCTCCCATTGAGACGGTGGACAAGTATCATTTTGCAGCGGTTTTCCCCCAATGGTCGTCCCATGTTTACCGGACCTTTCGATCAACGCCTGGGACGAGACCCGCGAAAACGGAATCCTATCCTCCGCATTTGCCGGGGGCTTTTGTTGTATCACAGAAGTGGTCATGTCCCGCAGCCATACCTGTATCCAACTGATCTCAACGTATCGTTTGCATTCGATTGCACCGGGCTTCGAATTCACATTGTTTTTTCAGGATAAAGGACACCGGATACCATTGACAATCAGCTTGACAAGCAAATATGGGTCGAACTAAATTTCATATTGTCAGTGAGTTTGTGTGTTTTGGCCTCGCAGAAAAGGACCAACTCCCAAGTTCTTGTGCTTGTTCTTGGAAAAGCACTGGTATTCAGGTCAAACAGGACCAACCAAGGCACAGCTCTCTCTTTCTCTCTCTCTCTCCCTCTCCCTCCCTCTCCCTCCCTCCCTCCCTCCCTCCCTCCCTCCCTCCCTCTCTCTCTCTCTCTCTCTCCCTCCCTCCCTCCCTCCCTCCCTCCCTCCCTCCCTCCCTCCCTCCCTCCCTCCTCCCTCCCTCCCTCCCTCCCTCCCTCCCTCCCTCCCTCCCTCCCTCCCTCCCTCCCTCCCTCCCTCCCTCCCTCCCTCCCTCCCTCCCTCTCTCTCTTTCTCTTTCTCTTTCTTTCTTTCTCTCTCTCTCTCTTTTGCCAAACAACAAGCTGGGCACTTCCAAAAAGGACACCCTCATTTCTGCTGGCACATGTTCAGGGACATGTGAATCAGTCCTTGGTGCAGCTGGTCTTTCGGTGGACGGACAAAGTCCACTTCCCAACCGGTGCCTGGCGCGGATCTCTCGCCCGTCCGTGGCATTTCTGCTACCCACCCCTACAACAACCTGCTTGTTTGGGGCATATGTTGGAACTTCTGGTTTTCCATCGTAAATTTGCGGGGCCCCCTCAACATACTCAGGAGTTCGAGTTCCATATATAATATGAATAATATATATATATATATATACTTGGTGGCTCCCAGCCTTAGCCTTTTACCTGTTTAGTGTTTAGTGGTAGTTTTCGAATTTAACTCACTAAAAGCCAAGCTTTCAGCGGGGGATCTGAGCCCGGAAAAGTGAACCCGTAGAAGGCTGCGAGATTTTCTAGGTGGATGGGGAAGGTTGAGACCCGGAATGGCGCATCAAGCCCAGGTTTTGCCAGATGGCCATGGGTCGAAACCCAAATTGTAAGTCCAGTGAACATCCACCAATCCACCCACTACAATAGGTTCTAAAATGGGTGGTGAATTCACCTACCAACCAAAATGGTGTCCCAAAACGGTTTTGACCCACGAACCCCTTCGCTAAAATAGAGTAAAATGGATGGTGCACCTACCCCAAAATGGGATCCCAAAACGGTTTTGACAACCACGGCCAGATCTGAAGAAAGCCGGCAGTCCGAGGCCTGCAAGGAGCTCTTCCGGCTTCTGGACGCGGGGGCCGCCTCGGACTGGCGCCATGCCAAGGCGGAAGAAAAAGCCCTGGGCGGGGTGTCTCGGTTTGGAGGGAACCGCCCCAGCGTTTTTGGGTGGTTTGAAGAGAACAACCAGATGTTTTGTTGGGTGGTTTCAAGAGAACAACCATTTTTTTATTTTATTTTTTTTTGGGGGGGGGGCGGGGGCGGTTTCAAGAGAACATTTTTTTAAGAAACATATGTATTTTTTGTGGTTTCAAGAGAACGAGATGTTTTTGTTTGGGTGGTTTCAAGAGAACAACCCGACGTGTTTTTTTTTGGGGGGGTTGGGTGGTGGTTTCAAGAGAACAACCAGATGTTCGTTTTTTTTGGGTGGTTTCAAGAGAACAACCAGATGTTTGTTTTTGTTTTTTTGTTTGGGGGTGGGGGTCCCCTATTTTGAGGCAACCTTAAAGTGTGTTGTTTGGGGGAGTAGTAGCTGAAAGCTATGGTGAGGGTTTTTGTTGGGAATCCCCGTTGGTTCCCAACAAAAAGGCTACATGTGCCGTCAAAAGACCCCTCGAAGTATCCGAAAGGACAGTCATGGACTCCTAGAGGCTTACAAAAGGGGTTCCAGTCCATCAGAAAGGTTCCGGTTAGGAGAAGGCGAACCCCCAAAGTGGTGGTTTTCCTGTGGGTTTCCCTTCAAAACCAACAAACAACAGGGTTCCCTAAAGAAAGACACACCCATATTTAGGCTGGGTTCCATCTCAATCAATCCATCTTGCTGTTACCAGATGGTTGCGGGTTTCCCTTTTGCCCCTCTGCCGAATGTGGATTGGGATCCCCGCCCCTTTGGCAAAACCTGTCCAAGCCCATGGAACAACGAGCCCTACGAAAGTCCCCCGGCGACCAAAATCCGACAATCCGACCATCCAGGGCCCAGTGGGATCGATCAATCCACTCGGCGATTTGATTCGCAGAAAGCTGTCTCATGGGATTTGCCGCTTTTGCGGTTCTTTTGACTTCCCCTATGGCCATGAATTTCAATAGGCAGCCACCTCCAAAGTGGTGGATATGAATTCAAACCTAAATGATGTCCACACACGGACCCAGAAAGGCTTTCCATTGAAATACCCATATGAAACGGCAAGCTTCTGTTGTCATTTCTGAGAGTTTCTTCGTTGCAAGTTGCAACGCCCGTAAAACGCAGGCGCTGCTGGCTGGGCGCAAGGCGGGGTGCACAGTTGAAGCAACCAGACCCTGGAAGGTGAGCGCGAAAAACTTGCTGGTTGCTCCAAAAATTCGACCGGCACAAGGGTACATCCTGGAACAGGGCTCCTTCAAGGATACATTTTGCAACCACTTGAAACATGGCTTTTTCAACACCAAAATCAGGTGAAACCACCATTGACAAGGCAATGTTCAGGTGTATAATGTAGGGTTCATTCCCTCATTTCCTACTGAGAACCTGGTTTCCTTGAAGGGAATGACCCCCAGGGTTCATTCCATTTCTCATTCCCTACCTATCGCACCAGCAAGCACAAAAAGGTATTTGGTGTTTCAACCAAGTTGTCTTAAGAGCTGTTTGAAACAGGCAAAAGCAATGTTTAACTCCCTTTCCAGGGCCCCCCAACGGCTGGCAAATAATGCCAAAACAGCCATTGGGAGGTCATTCAGACCATTTGCCAGCCATTGGGGGGTCCTGGTTGGTGGTTTTCTCTTGGTTTTCTCACCATGCGCCAACCTGGCAGAGGGGTTGGACATGGTTGGACCAAAACCGCGGAGCAAGCGCCAGGGTCTGCCGTGGCAGCGCGTGTGGCGGGAGACCTTGGAGGATCCACAGCTCTTCTGGGCCAGCGACAGGAGCCATGCGCTGGGAGCGCCGGACCTGCATACTCCGCTCTCCTGCGCGCCTGGGATGAAACGGACTGTGTTGGGGTCTTCTATTGGGGCAAGTGTTCCCCCCCCAAATATATATATATATATATTTATATATATGGAAAAACATAAAACAGAAATGCCAGGGAAAAAATCCGGGGCCAAGAAAGCCGGACCCAGCTGATATGGACCTAACATGAGCTCAACTTTGTTGGACTTCCGCATGTCATCAGCCCCAATATTGTGGATGATGTCAGGTGGGTTCGACTTTCTGGGTCCGAGTTTGGTCCCATTGATTGGATGGTCGTTCTTTACTTCTTGGTCCCGGGGGTGCTGAGTCGTTACTCCCCAAGCACATGGAACCCAAAAAAGAGGTGTATGCCTCTCACTTGCTGGTTCGATGGGAATGAGGGAATGATAATTTAAACCATCACCTATGGTTTCCTTCAACCCGTCACCTACCAATGGCACTCGAAAAAGCATGGCTTCCCTTTGCCAATCTGCTAGGCTTCTTCCGAAGTGATGTTGAATGGGGAGATGTGATCCCTTGTTCCTTGAGCCACTTCGAGGAAGGGATGGGCCCAACCAGAGGTGCGGAGATCCACCCTTTGATTCTTTACATGATTTTGGGTAGGCCCTTTTAACACCGGGTATTGCTGATGACTCGCTTAAAGTGATTGGTGTTCAATCCTTCTGAGCATTTAGAGGGGGGTTCGAGCCATTTGAGTCGAAAATAAAAACCCGCTGTATGTGTCAATGTAAGGCATGATCCCAGCTGTTTTGGACCCATCAAATTTGCTGCGCCGCCGCTTGTAATTTGAAGGGCAGCGGCAGGAGTGTGTTGCAGGAGCGGCCGCGCAAGTCAAACATGGGGCTGCGCAAGTAAAGCGCAAGTGAAGCGCAAGTGACGCCGTGATTCATCATCATCATCATCATCATCACCATCATCATCATCATCATCATCATCATCATCATCATCATCATCATCACCATCATCATCATCATCATCACCATCATCATCATCATCATCATCATCACCATCATCATCATCATCATCACCATCACCATCACCATCACCATCATCATCATCATCATCATCATCATCATCACCATCATCATCAGCATCATCACCATCATCATCATCATCATCACCATCATCATCACCATCATCATCATCATCATCACCATCATCATCATCATTATCACCATCATCATCATCATCATCACCACCATCATCATCATCATCATCATCATGACCCAGAGATTAGCAAGTTTTGCGGCAAGTCCCGCGCAAGTCGCGCGCAGCCCGCAGGTGCCCCCAAACTGCTTGGAGCAGGAGTGCCGCATTTCTGTAGTTTGCATTTTTCTCTGCAGATCGCAGCAATTTTGCCGAGTGAATTTGTTAGCAGAAAATTTGCAGCGGTGTAATCTCTTCCCCCTATTAATAAATACGCCCCCCCCCTATTATAAATAAATCCTCCCAAAAATAGATTTTTTTTTAATTGGGGTTTTCGGGGTTGGGTTTTTTTGCTTTTCCAACAATGTGAGGGTTCGCATAGGATTTGGAGGAAATGGATTGAATTGTAAGGTCCGCGAGTAAGCGGTTTAATAAGGAAATTTCATGTATCATTCTATTTGTTTTTCAGTTTACTGGTTGTTTGTTGGCAGCCAGGCAGGTTAGCCAGCATGTATGGGGGAGAGACAGTCGCAGCTTAAAAGTGGGGCTGGAAGCTTGTTAAAAGTGCCCCCTAATAAGGATTCCAAGACTTTAGTATTGGTTTAGTATTGGCGGAATTAAAAATCAATTGTGCGGAGTGGAAATCTGGTCTCGGGCCCCGGATTTGCATTTATTATTAATGGGGGTCATTCATTAATTGGGGGAGGAGATTATACACCTGAGACCTCATACACTTACTATTGGGGGACCTCATGCTTATGAAGACCGCCGCTTGGATTTGCAATGAAAACAACTTGGGATAAGAGTTTTCATACGGGTTTTTTGTTCCAGCTCATTTGGGTTTCGGAGCATCCGGTTGGATAGGGGTAGTGATGCCATGAAACAGATCTGCGGACTCAGACGATTTTGCAGATGGCAGGTACTCCATTTCTAAACTCAGTGGACTGGTGCTTTTGACCCGAGTGGTTCTGAGAGAAGGGTTGCATCGGTGAGCATGGCTGACATCCCTTTCTTCGGAGCCAACCTGTTCCCGTCTCCTTCGGGTCTTTACATCTCTTTTTGCAGGTCTAAATCCAAAAGGTGCCGCCAGAATTGGCTTCTTGCACGTTTAAGTCTAAAGACATTTCGGGAAATGCTCTTGTAACTTGTGCTGTTCTGCTTCAGGGGTTTAAGGGCAACCAACAATAACATCGAATCCTTTTGCCAACATTTTGGTCGGATGCGTCCATGCGACCGTCAGGTGTTGCTTGCTTCGCCCCGGCACCGCTTGGCCGCAATGCTGCAGAAGTGGGAGACGGGCAGCGGAACTCTGCGCAAGGCGCAGCAGCAGTTCCTGCGGCTGCCCGCCTCATCACTGGGCGGGCTGACGGCCCGCAAAATGCAGGAGGCGACCGTGTCCTCTTCCAAGACCTCGAAGAAGAGTCCTTGAACAACCTTTGTTTGGAGCGGGTTTCCCTTTGAAATCAAATCAAATCCAACATTGGAGGTCTTGGACTTGCAGATCTCCTGGGTGAGTGCTGGCCGTCTCAGCTTAGGTTTCCGTCGGCAGGGAGTCTTGCGGGTTGGAAGGCGTTCTTTGGAATTCACGAGCGATGGAAACATCGAATCGTGGGATTCCCAACCATAAATGGGTATTGAAAATTGGGGCGGCACCACAAACACGGATTTTCTGTGGTTTCGGTTGGTTTCCCTTCAGTCCAATCCAAAATGCCAGGTAACCAATTCTTTGGTCTGGATTGGTTTCGGCATCTGAGCCCCTGGCTTAAAGGGAAATGAGACACCACCCCCAAAACACCTCCGAACCAGCACTCCAAACCACCAACCCTCATGAAAACCAACCAAGAGGGAGGCTGAATTTCTGGTCGTCCCTTCGTTGCGGGGGTACCTGTCAACAAAACACTTCCACGTTCTTGTTGGTTTTGAAGGGAGTTATCACTACTGGAAAAAAAAAAAACACCAGGGGCAGAAAGCAAATGGACGTCAAGTGGCGTTTCACCGCCCCGGTGCCCCAGCCGTTTCACCCCAAAAGGCGGGGCCCGCCGCCGACCCCGGCGCCGCGGCGCGCGCCGCGGTGGCCGAGTGGCGCCGCGCCGCGTGCGCTCTGCTGCTCGTGGCCCGGACTCAACGCGGCGGGCGATCCTACGTCTGAGTAGCTGAAGCTTAGTAAAGGACGATCCCAGCCATGAATAGCTGCGGATATCCGCCTTCTTAATTCCTTACATGGTTTTTGGGTAGACCATTTTAGTATCGAGTTTTGATTGTGACTCACTTGCGGCAAGAACGAGCAAACGCCATGATAAAGGTTCTCTTTTTCTTAGGGGGCACCAGAAATTCAGCTTTTGGAGTTTTTAGTAAAATGTGCAGCCGCGTTGGTTTTGTAGGGAAACCAAGAGACGCCAACAGATTCCACAAGTTTTTTTGTGTGGGGAGCGGGCAGGTAGCCAGGTATCCATTTCGTTGAGGTCTGGCACGAACGGTTTGCTGGTTCTCCCCCAAACCAAGCAGTTAGAAGCCAATGTTCTTGTCAATTTTGCCCCGAACAGCTGAATTCTATGGATTTGGTCTCAGATAGGCTCGATCGGGGTGGTTTGGGGCAGCTTTCAGGGAGGGTTCCGGAGATTTGGTTCCGGGTTGCGCAGTTGGGGATATTTTCTCACCTGACTTTCTAACGGAACTTTAGGCGAACCGTCTGGGTTCATTATGTTGACCGTTTTTGGGTCGTCAAAGTCAGAAATTCGGGTGGTTTCCTTTTAACCTCCACTTGCACTTGGGGTGACTTTGATAATTGTAAAACAATTGCGCCAGACCGTTCCCCAATCTGGGTCATTCCCCGCCTATCGCAGCAAGTTTTGTCTGGCCAGCAGGAAGAGAGAGGAGCATTTCGCCCATAGGTGTCCTTTTGGTGGTTTTGGTCGAAAAATAGATGGCGATTCCTGGTTTCCCTGGTGGTTTAATCATCTACCAGGGAAATCCATCGATTTCCCCTAAAAGGGCACTATATGATTGCACCTCGGCCTTCGATGGCCGCGCAGGACTCCGCTTCTGCTGGCCTGGTGTCGCTGGCTGACGCGCAAGGGCGCACGGCGCTGCATCTTGCGGCGGCGGCAGGGGACGTGGAGGTGGTGGAGATGTTGTTGGAGCACGGGGCGCAGAAAAACGCCCAGGACAGGTAGTTGTTTGTGCAGGGCTCCTTGAAAGATACAGTTTGCCCATTTGAAGCATGGCTTTTTCCACCAAAATAGAGGGAAACCACAATTTACAAGGCAATGTTCAGGTGTATAGTGTAAGGATCCCTGTTGTGTCAAACCAGAGTTTTAACAGCCCCGAACATGATTGTTTTGTTTTGCTTTGTTTGGCCGGGTCGTTGGCTTGCTCGCTCGTTTGTTTGGTTGATTGCTTTGATCTGATTTGTCGTGTTGTCGCTTTTTTTTTTGTGTGTGTGTGTTATTTGTGTTTCCATTTGTGGCCTTTTGTTTATGTAGCAGTGTGTTGTTGTGTTAAGGCATGTCAGTGATGAACAATCATTTTAATATTACAAACACACACACACACACATTTTGCCCTGACTATATTGAACATCACAATTACCAGCTGATTTGCGGGATGGGGATGCTCAAAGGATCAAACTATTTTTGCTGGGCTCATTCACTCGGTTGCACGTTTAGGACTTCTCAAAATTGCTGTTGGGGGTAGCTTCCCTTTCAGCTTGAATGGACCCAGTCTTCACCGGCCCCCTTGCAATCTGAACCAGTTGATTTTGGATATGAGGGTCTTTCTTGTGAACCAGGTGAATTTGGATCTTTGGGGGATTGAGTTCTTCGATTCCAAGCTCTCAACAGGTTTTCCATCCCTTGCCTCAGAGAAATGCGGGCCCCGGCAAGTAGGCCAGAAGGAACTCCTGAAGTCTTTTAAACGACTTGCACTCTGGTCCGATTTGTTATTCACTGAGGCTTGCGTTTTGCAACGGTGAAGGCCCTTTTGGCTGGAGTCGGAAAAAACACCACCGGGCAAAACGCCTGCGATTTTAGGGCCCCCGTGTCTCATTTTGAGAACCCTCCCCTCTCTGCGCCGCTGCCCTCTGACTGGCCTTTGTTCTCGGGGAACCTTCCTCATTCTGACCATTCTTTCCAGGCATCCTTCTTTCTAAAAACCCACCCAAAACCCTGGGGAAACAGATCCGGTTTTTGAAAAGAACGATGGATGAACGCACAAACGAATCCAGGTCTCTGAGCACTGAGTGCGCGACCTTCAGGGAGTTTGGGGGTGGCCAAATGAAAAAAAGCACAGCAACAACTTGTGTGAACGACGCTTGAAAACACTGGACGATCAGCCCCTATGTTTTTGTGAGGGTCCTTTGAGGACGTGCATGGGCGCAGTCCCGCGCACATCGCGGCCGCGCGACGCCACAGAGATGTGGCCGCCAAGTTGATGGAAGGCAGCGGAAGCGAAGGGGTTCGTGGGTCAAAACCGTTTTGTTGCCATTTTGGGGTAGGGGAATTCACCACCCATTTTAGAACCTATTTTAGTTGGGTTTGGGATGTTCACTGGGGGTACGGGGTTTTGACCCATAGCCAAAACTTGTTTTTCCTTTTCCTCTGTTTGTGGGAAAAATTATGCAGCGCCCCCTGCTAGTGTAGAACCCTTTTCAAGGGAGGCGGTTCATTTCAGAGGAAAAGGCAAACCCTGGAGGGAATCACCTTTTGTTTTACCATCCCATGTTTTTTTTTTGACCAAACAAAAAGCAAAACTTGATGGTGCGATAGGCAAGGAATGAGAAATGGAATGAACCCAGGGGTCCTGGTTCCCTTGAAGGAAAGCACCAGTTGGATGGTTTATGGCTGGTTTCCTTTTGGTCTCCCAAACAAAGCAGCCAAAAGAGGATCCCAAAGCTAGACCCCGATTATTCCGAAAGCATTTATAAGAAAGACATAGCCCACTCATGCCCGGAAGCAGAGCTGCGCAGCAAGGGCTAGGTTGCGATGTGCTGTGAAGGAAGGCTATGTTGAGATGAGCTTTGAAGAACAACTATGTTGCGATGTGCTGCGCAGCAAGGCTATGTTGAGCTATGCTGTGAAGCAAGGCTATGTTGAGAAGTGCCGTGAAGCAAGGCTAAGTTAAAATGCACTGTGCAGCAAGGCGATGTGAAGCAAGGCAACGTTGAGATGTGCTGGGCAGCAAGGCTATGTTGAGACGTGCTGTGAAGGTACGCTATGTTGAGATGTGCTGCGCAGCGTGCTATGTTGAAATTTGCTGCAGAGCAAGGCTATGTTGAAATGCGCTGTGAAGCAAGACTATAGACATGGACCGTGCTAAACTGACACGGGGTGCAAAGCAGAACTGTTTCGAGCACAGCGAAGCGGAGCAGAGCTGCGCGAAGCAGAGCTGCAACACCTCAGATTTACGCAACGTGCCCGACAGCCAGCGAGCCAGCGGGGAATTGAGCCCGGCGAGAGCGATCTGACACGAACGATCCCCGCAGAGGGTTCGTCGGCGAACTTTGAAATTTGCATGGCATCCTGCGCAGAGCGAGGCTGTAGAGCAAGGCTTTGCTGGGCTGTGGCAGGGCTGGGCTGGGCAGAGCGTGGGCGTGCAGGGCTACACTGTTCAGAGCAAGGCTCTGCAAAGCTGGGCACTAAGCTGTGAATGTCAGGCTACGCAAGCAGAGCAACTCCTTTGGCTCAGAACCTTCGCTGAACATTGGGGCAAAAAGACACCAGGTGAGAAGCGAGGGTTTGCTTCCCAGCAGGCGCGTTGGAGTTGTGGAGTATCATCTCGGCTCACTGCTTCTACACCAAGCTAGACGCAGGTGCCCAGGGTTGATGTCCCTCAAAGGGACGCTTCCTGGGTATCTGCATGTACCTTGCAAGCCCCAAGGTGAGTACCCAAATCATCTGCCCCAAAAACGTTTACCGAATGTCGCCGGGTGCGCGAGAGGCGACGCCTGTGACGCCTTCGGCCACACCGTGAGAAGTCTCCTGGACACGCTGGACGCGGAATCGCTTGGACCGAGGCCAAAGATGGCGGAGGTGCAGGCGGAGGACTGGGCGAACACTTTTTGGAGGAATGTATGTCATGTACCACTCAACGGTCAGCTTGTGGCAAGGGAACGAACCAGTATGTAAAAGATGACCTAGCCATGTTGACGTCCTTTGCTTTCCAAGGGTCGAGTTTGGTTTGGTTTCCTCCGGCTTCTATTGGTTTGTTTTGGGTCCCCTTTGGTTTGCAGCGAGGACCATTCGGTCGAATGGGACCAGCTTTGACCCCAAGGTAGACGCAGATGCCCGGCTGTCCGCAGAAGGGAAGCCGCTGGGTTGAAGTCTATGGGATCAACTGGAACCCTGGTGTATTTGTTTTTGACCATGGGCCGGGTTTAAAGGGAGTCCAAGAAGCACCATTCGGTCCAAATCCCTTCAGCGCATCGTCAGGATTTCCCTAAGTTTCCTCAAGCCATGACAGCCAAGTTGGAAACTCACGGTTTGGCCTTCAACTCTTTCCCTGAGCTCTTGGACTTCAAGCTTCCTGAGGAGATCATTTTAGTGGTACGTAACAAGTCCCTGAACCTTTTGTTGGCCAATCCACTCCTTCGAAAGTGAGTCAAGTTGGAACTATAGGGCGCCCTACGGTCGACTAAGGCTGACCCCATATGAATCAACCGCAGTGTGTCCGATTCTGGGTTCAGTGGGGAATCAGACCACTTTTGTTGGGGCTTCCACACCCCTATTTACCGACCGGGGTGGACTAAGGAGGGGTATTCTTTAAAATCAAAAAAAAACACGACAACGAAACAAATCCCGAAAGAAATCCGTAGCCGTTGATGAATATGGGGTCAACAGCCAACTCTTGGCTTCGCAAAGCCCTGCGCTTCTCGAGGACGTCCCGCCCGAGCGGTTCCTGCGCGACTTCGTGGCCGCCAACCGCCCGGTGCTTCTGCGGAACGGGGCGGCCCATCTGGAGGCGATGAGGCCCGAGCTTTCATCGGCTCAGTCGAGTGACGGGCGTAAGTCTGTCTTGAGGTTTTTTGATTTGGGCTTTGAGGGAGCTCTGAGTGTCTTGGTTAAGAGTATTTTGTTCAGTCTTGAGTTTTTTTGTTCTGAGTTTTGAGGGAGCTTTGAGTGTCGTGTTTAAGAGCATTTTTGAGTTTTCAGGGTCCAGGTACATCTCCATGAGGGAGCAGGCGAGAATGCAATTGAACTGATGGTGGTGATAAATGCCACACGCCTTGGTTGGTGACCAAGGAGCGTAGCACAATGAAATTTAGTTGCGGGGAATACAGCTAAACAAGGCGTAAGTCAGTATTCAGTTTTTGTTCTTCTGAGTTTTGAGGGAGCTTTGAGTGTCTTGTTTAAGAGTATTATTGGAGTTTTGAGGGTCCAGGTACATCTCCTTCATTTTGTCAACTGCGACCAAGCTCCAAACAAATCTAGGTTTTAGAGATTCAGTGTGGAACAGAGTCAGAACATGTTTTGTTTTTCGTGTGTGGCCCAGATGTGGGCCAAGTTTTGAGGCTGCCTTTCTGTTGGGTGGTTTTAAGGGGCAACGACAAGGAAACCTCATATGTTTGCACCGTTGTTCGAAACGGAAGCTTGAGGGTAGCCATCCCCGTGTTGAAGGTTCTCTGGGAATTGATTCAAAAGGGCGGGCAAACGCCCGAATGCGGGCTTGAGCGTGTATGAACAAAAAGAAGGATCCTCAAGATGTTTGTTGAGAAACTCGAGAGCGATTTGGCTTTCAGCTAAAGTTTGGTCAAATGTGTCCAAGAGGGCAAGGCTAAGGCTTCATGTTTGAATGAACTGAACATGAACAGGAAGATCATCAGCAACAAAAAAAAAATCTGTGATCACATCAACATAGGTGTCCTTTTTGGTTGGTTTGCTCAAAAAAAAGAGGGCCCTGGATTGGATGGGGTTTATTCCATTTACCAGGGAAACCCATCTATTTTTCGAAAAGGCCACTTATGCACATCAATTTTCGATGAGCCACTTGTGCATTCCTAGTGACACTCACAAGTTTTGATCGGCGGATTCCTACTTTGGATCATTCAGACCGGGCCCAAAAGCTGGCCCTAGGTTGTACACCCTTCAGGGGGATGTGCATGTTTCGTAGTCAAACCTGGTTGCCCCCCTCTAAGGGAGGAAACTTCAGGCGTTGTGTTGAAGGTTTTCAGGTGTTTTGTCGAACGTTCGTCAACACAAAAGCACCATCATGTTGCTTCCTGGGAAGGCCATCTCAGGCTTTCGATGTTTTACCCCTCCCCCCCAAACAACAGGAATAAGAGAAAAACCAATAACGATAAAACAGAATAACTTAGAATAAAGCAGACATGAGCAAAACAACCACGTTCCCCCCACGTTCGATTCATGTGTTTGGAATGGAGGTGGTCGGACTACCGACAGCTACAGCAGGACCTCGGCAGCGAGCAGGTGCACGCGGCCCCGGTGCCCTACGCCAAGAACTTGGGCCTTCCCGGAGCCATAGAGGCGGATGGATCGGCGAGCGGATGGGCCCCGATCCCCCGGCGGATGGCAGAACCTGGAACCCTTGCCACATGTGGGTGTTGCTCAAAATTAAGCAGGAGGTGTTACGCAGGTTTTGGTCCATGTTTCCACTTAGATTCCATTTTGGTACCGTTGTTTTGAGCCACAGCCACGTGGGATCCCCTTTTTTTCTGCTCATCAAGAACTCCCTCCACCATTACTGGCAAAGTCCTGGCAGGACTCAAGGTACAAACAAGGTTGCCCTGGACTGCAATGATGTTAGACCAGATGGAGAAAGCGAGGTTTCGGTTGGATGCCCCCTCTCAGCAGTTAAACATTTGGAGCAACCACTCAAATGGTCTTCCAAATTGTGGGTCTCCAGTGTTTGGGAGCAGGGTTCAAGGTTGAACGTTGAAGCGGATGTGTCTTTGTTTAGTGACCCGCACCCTTTTCGGGCCCTGGTTTCTCAAGTTAGAAACTTCAAGAAGACAACCCACCTTTCAACCGAACCCTTTTTTGTTGATTCAAAAACAAGCACCATGTTTATGTTGTTCCATTTTTACCATGGCTTTGACAAGAAAGGGCCAAATCGCCTGAGAATAGCAGCACTTCGCGCTGCTGGCCAACACGCGCGTTTCTTGAGGCTGCCGGCCTCTTTTTTTTTCAAGGCAACTTCTCAAAGCTCGCGAGCGAGCCGCCTTCTAGGAACGCGACCACGGAGAGTCGGCAGACGATGCCGGCGATATTGGCTCCCCGCTGCTTGAGTGGTAGACAAAGGATCTAAGATGGCCAGGCGAGATATCGTCTTCGTCGGCAGACATGGCAAGCTCGCCACACTGGCTTGAGGATGGTGCAGAAGTGAAGTTGATGACCAACAAACGTCCGGATAGAACAAAACAGGCAGCACGCAAAGCCGGGGTAAGCGGGGAGCGGGCGCGCGAGAGCGTCAGCCAGGCAGCGCGAAGACGCGGCAGTGCAGCAGGTGACCGACACCAGGACAAAGGGCTTCGAGCAGATATCGCACCAACAGCTGCCGCAAAATGCGCGAAAGGATCAGACGAACTACCAGCGAAAACTTCAAAGTGAGCGTCCAACAAGAACGGATCACACGTCCAAATTGCCTGGAACCACGAGTCAACAATGGGGCAGGGTGCACACGCGACACGCAGCAGCAGAACGTACGCAACACAAAGAGCGAGAACAAAATGATGACCCATGGTCCTGGAGCCAAAGGTTGGGCCAGTGAATGCCTCAGGGGTGAAAGACGCATCTACAGCAGTTCATGCCCCCCCAACCCCCCCCCAGAACCATGTTATTTTGTAATCCGGTAAAAGAGCAGGCTGGTCTGCAGCAGTTGAGCGGGTGTGCTTATCATACCCCCCCACCCACCCCCCCTCCCCCCACCCACCCCCCCTCCCCCCCCGCCCACCCATCCCCCCCCGAACCATGATACATGAACGCAGGGATGAACGTCCAAAAAACAAAGAACTCCACGGGGTCGTGAAGGACGCCGTGAGCAAAAACAAGCTTGTTAGTTCTCTAAGTTTCACTTTTCAGTTTTGGGGTAAACCCTTTTTCAGGGTTCTCTCTTTTGGGCCACCCGAGCATTCCTCTACTTTGGGCCCAAGTCAGACTTGTCTTCCCTTCGCAGGGGTTTTGTCTTGCGCCAGGCGCCCCTGTCGCAGCTGCTGTCCTCCCCCAAGCTCTGGCGCTCCGAGAGCGCTGCGAGCGGAGCTGCGAGCGGCGCGGAAGGCGAGGCGCCGTGCTACGTCTTCGATGCGGCGGTGCTGCGGCGCAGGACTGGCAGTGGCGGTTTCCCCTTGGCTTTCCCCTCAGTTTCAAAGTGAACCTGTCACTGGAAATATTTGCTCATTTTCCCCCTTGGTTTCAAGAATATTGGTGGTTGTCCCTTGGTTTCCCCTTGGTGTCAAGAATATTGTTGTTTTTCCCTTGGTTTCCCAGTTTTCCCCTTCGTTTCAAGAATATTGTTGTTTTTCCCTTGAGTTTTAAGTTTTCCCCGGTTTTCCCCTTGGTTTTCCCCTTGGTCTTCTCCTTGGTTTCAAGAATATTGTTGATTTCCCCTTGGGTTTCCCCTTGGTTTCCCTTGGTTTTCCCCTTTATTTCAAAAACATGGCTGTTTTTTCCTTGGTTTCACAGGCATGGTGGGTTTTCCCAAGGGGCGGAACAGCAAATGGACGAGGAGCGAGCTGGCGGAAAAGGCCTTGCCACTCACAAGGAGCGAGCCGGCGAAATTTCGCGCGAGCGAAGCGTGAAGCCACAGGGGGAAAGATGGCAGAATTCTTGGGGCTTGGGGGGCTTGGGCCTTGGGGTACCCCCCAATGTTAAGACGTACCCAAGTGGTGTCCTGTCAAAATCCAGCACTTGGTTGGTTGATCCACTAGATTTTTTCTTGGTCTAGGGGTACCTTCCCCAGGCGGAATTCTAGGGGTACCTTCTCAGGGGTGCGTTCAATGGATTGTTTGGGGGCTGTTTGACCATCACTGAATCACGTCGTTGGGGTTTCGGCCTGGAGTTTATGCAGCTGTGTAAAGTTCTAGGGGTACCTTCCCTATTCTTTGAATTGGACAAATGGCTGTGGGTCAAGAATATGTACCCATTTTTGGAACCCTGGTAAGTGGAAACATGGACCAAAACCTGCGGTCCCCTGGTGGTTTAATTTTGACCCATACCCAAATCTTGTAGAGCATTCACCATCGGTTTCAAGGGGAACCTGTGAAAGGGGCATTTAATCTTTGTCGCTGTGGGTACCTTCCACTTCCATTCTGGAACCCAGGGATCCGAATCTTTCCAGAAAACCTCCGGAAACCCATGGAAAACGGATCCGGTGTTTGGAAAGAACAATGGTTGAAAAGAATGGGGAATCAACCCCTAGAAGAATGCCCTCGGGAGAACGATGATGAGAGAAGATGGGCAATGGTGCCATCTAATTTCGCGCTAACTATGATGGGCAAGGACGAGTAGGTTTGAACCCCGAGAATGAAAAACAAGTTCGCACTACTCCCCTCGCAGCTTGGTAAAAGCTTTGGTGGCTGAAGGCCAACACAGGACCTCCAAGCATATGGGGAGGCAGCTCTCCCAGATTACCTCCAGGGAGGCCCAGACTTGGGCCTTGGCTTATCCAGTGACAGGCCCTATAGTTCCCCTCGCAGGTCCAGGCTATGAATTGAAAGAGTTGGCGTCGCCGGCCCGAAAAGTGCTTGGCGGACATGACAAATTTGCACCGAGTTTGGATGTCCAGCAGTTTGGGTCCCCACTTTGTGAAGACTTCCGAGCTTCGCCGCACACTTTTTCCTTAAGAAATATCACGGCCGAAGTCTGGCAGGGCCTTCATGAAAGAGCACTGCTCCCACGTGAGACAGCCTCAGTTTGGCGTCGGCTTTCGCGGAGCAGGGGCGCCGATGCGACTTGGATTCTCTGCAGCGGACGAGCGGGGGATCGATCTTCCCCTCGTTTTTTCGTGGAGAGGGGAGGAGGTGTCTGAAAACCTCGCAAAGTCAATAGATGAGTTCTATGGGTAAGTATCCATGAGAAGTCTATCTTAGGCGCTTTCTCGACATAGGATTCGGAGCACTTGGACGGCTTGGGGAAACCTGAAGGAACGCCAAGCCATAGAATCATATTCACCGAAGGGCCACGCCTCACTGACTGCGAGTTCTGGTGATGCTTGCACGGCAGGTGTGACAACCATGCAGAACGGTCTTTAACAATTTTAGCCGGCAAAAACCTTCTCCAGACCGGCGAGGAGTCTGGGCTATCCGTGTGTGTGTGTGTGTGTTGCACGTGTTCTACTTGAGAAGCAGGGGGCGGCGGAATCGTAATTACTGGGGCCAGCATGTGCCTGCAGTGCACCTGACTAGAGAAAACGGCATGCCCTATGGGAATCCAACTCAAGACGTGCTTTGCATGCTTTTGAGATTGTTTGAGGTGAATATTGCAACGTGAAACAAAGTACACGATTGTCTAGAAAACAGTTTCGATGCGCCTTTTGTGGATTTTCACCTGTTCTTCTCCCTGTTGCTCCTTTTTTAAATGAATCTTTCAGCACTCTCTTTATATTCTACAAGGGTGGATCTACAAAAGCCACAGCCAAACCGTTTTTAGTGATTTGGACCGGCAGCGAAGACACTAGATTTACATTAGATTGCTTTGGCTTTGATGGTCCGTGCAACGAACACGCCAAATGCACACCTGATCATTGGACAAGGGAGCAAAAGCAATGGACATGAGGCCAGCGTGATACTGAGAAGACCTATAGGTGAAGTCTTCCTCTGCATGTTTATATGTCTAAAAAATGCTTCAGGGTGAAGCAGGAATGTATATCTGTAGTATGTGTATATAGACACATTTATAGGTGCATCCCTATATGTACAACGCTTACGTTAACAAGACGGAATACGCGCTCGTACAGTTTGTGTTTGCCTTGACGCAGCAGTATCAAAGACCCTGCCATGGTCCAGCCAGGTCAAGTTGCCCGCCTTAGTTTTTGCAGCCATGTTTGGTGTCCGCCATTAGTGAGAGACACTGCTCAGCCATTGAGCCAGCACAAGCGGTGGAGCGACCTCTCAGTGGAGTGTTTGAGTCTGACGCAGGTGTATTCCCTTGGTGGCGAAGCCAGCCATCCGGTTCCTTAGCCTTTTAGATCTTTTTAGTGCTTAGTGAATCTTAGTGACGTATTTTCAACGTAACCCACCGAGAGTTAGCCGCTTTTAGCGGGGGATCTCTGAAAACCTGGCAGCCCTCCTGAGCTCCAAGACCCTGAGCCAGCCATCCTGAGTCCTGAGGCCCAAAGAAAAGCCATGCCGGCCGTTTGTACATGTTATATCTTGTTCAACAACCCTGTCTACATGTGAGTGGCTGAGTGGCTGCGGATCAGTGTCCACCCAGATTGGTCATCCTCTGATCATTTATCATGAGGAATCACCTTGTATACATGTTCAACCTGAGCCCCAAACCATCCCAAACCAAAAAACATCGGACCAAACAAAACACGCTTGACTTCCATTTGCCTAATAATATGTTGTTTTTCCCCTGTTGGTTTTAAAGGGAATCAATGACTACGTGAAATATTGTTTTTAATAATATGTTTTTCTGCAGGGGTCGGAAAAGCAAACGGAAGTTGAGGCACACGCACCACGCCGCGCTGAACGCCTCACTGGCCGGGAGGAAGCGGTGGTTTCTGATGCCCCCAGAGGTGGCCGGCTGGACCTTGGACCCCGTGGCGGGCTGGGAAGGCAGCGAGGACTTTGAGCGGAAGCGGAAGGCTGGGCTCTGGGAAGTGACGCAGGAGCGGGGAAAAGGTGGACAGGGTGGAGCTTCCAATATGTTCAAGTCCATCTGGGTATATAAATATATATATATATATATGTATGATCCAGTCTTCCTTGGCCCCCCCCCACCCCCCCAATGGTCATGCTCAGTCAAGAAGGTGGCACAGTGTGATTTCACAGGCCCCCCGCCTGCTGGGGTCCATGGTTCCCCCCCCGCCCCATAAGGTCTATAGAACGTAGCACAGTGTGAACAAGCCAATGTGGGGTCTCCCGCCCTGTGGGATGGGTGAGTCCACAAGCCCCTGCCTGGGGGGGTCCATGGTTCCCACCCCCCCGCTTTCTGTGGGAATGGGGGTTGGGTCTACAGTGATACAAGCCCCCCGCCGGGTCAAAAGAAGGTAGCGCAGTGTCCGTACAAGCCAATGGGGTTGGGGTCTATAGAAGGTAGCACAGTGACCCCTGTGGGATGGGTTGGGGGGTCCATCATGGTGGGATGGGGGTTGGGGGTCTATAGAATTTAGCACAGTACCGTACAAGCCCCCTCCCCCCCTCCGGGCCCATACCGTTGGGGGGGGCCGGCTGGGGACGACGGGCGACGGGAACATATATATATATATATATATGTGGTCGGTGTGATGTGCTGTGTGTGTGTGTGTGTCTCTTTGTGTCTTTGTGTCTTTGTGTCTTTATGTCTTTGTGTCTTTGTGTCTTTGTGTCTTTGTGTGTGTGTGTGCGCGCGTCTGTGTGTCTTTGTGTGTCTGTGTTTGTGAGTGTTCCCTTAGGTTCCCTTAGAAGCCTAAAGGAACGCCACCATTTTCTTGGCTCCGTCTCCATGCCCAGAGTTTTTCTTCGGATTCTGCGCCCTGCCAGGAGGCTGGGGATCTCCTCTTTGTCCCCGAAGGCTGGGGCCATGCGACCATCTTGGACAGCTACGCCGCGGCCCGGCGAAGGATCGAAGGATCGCTCGAAAGGATAGTCCAGAGATCGAGAGCCGTGGATCTTAGACCCAACACCTTTCATTTGCCGAAAGGAGTTCTTTTTTTTGTTTTAATTATTATTTGTCACTTGCTGAAAGGAGTTCCTTTTCTTATTCACGAGTAGTTTTCATTTGCTGCAAGAATTTCTTTTTTTGTTCTTTGTTATTTTTTATTTGCCGAAAGGAGTTCTTTTTTTAACATTATTATGTGTCATTTGCTGAAAGGATGTCCTTTTCTTATTCATGAGTAGTTTTCATTTGCTGCAATAATTTCTTTGTTTTGTTCTTTGTTATTTTTCATTTGCCGAAAGGAATTCTTCTTTTTGTTCGTTATTATTTGTCATTTGCTGATAGGATTTCCTTTTCTTATTCATGAGTAGTTTTCATTTGCTGCAATAATTTCTTTGTTTTGTTCTGTATTTGTTTTTTCATTTGCCGAAAGGAGTTCTTCTTTTTGTTCGTTATTATTTGTCATTTGCTGAAAGGATTTCCTTTTCTTATTCATGAGTAGTTTTCATTTGCTGCAAGAATTTCTTTGTTTTGTTCTGTATTTTTTTTTTTCGTTTGCGGAAAGGAGTTCTTTTTTTAACATTATTATGTGTCATTTGCTGAAAGGATTTCCTTTTCTTATTCATGAGTGGTTTTCATTTGCTGCAAGAATCTTTTTTTTTTTATTTGTTATTGTTCATTTGCCGAAAGGAGTTCTTGTTTTTTGTCAGTTGCTGAAAGGATTTCCTTTTCTTATTCATGAGTAGTTTTCATTTGCTGAAAGGATTTCCTTTTTTTTCATTATTATTTGTCACTTGCTGAAAGGATTTCCTTTTCTTATTCATGAGTCGTTTTCATTTGCTGCAATAATTTCCTTTTTTTGTTCTTTGTTATTTTTCATTTGCTGAAAGGATTTCTTTTTTTTCTTTCTTATTTTTCACTTGCTGAAAGGATTTCCTTGTTTGTTCATGTTTTTTTTCATTTAATGAAAGGACTTCCTTCTTTTGTTCATTATTATTATCCATTTGCTGAAAGGATTTCCTTTTTGGTTCATTGTTCTTTTTCCCTTGCTGGTTTGCAAGACTTTCTGCGCTCCGGGTTCTGTCATGCATGATTAGCCTTCGAGCGGGTACGGCGTAGGTGACTGGAGCGTTGACGAGCCCAATGCTACTTTAGAGTTTCATTTGAGCCACGTGCTCAAAACCCCACCCCCCTTCCATGGTCGCTTGAGTACCTAACCCCCCCCCCACCCATGGTCATCTCCCCCCTGTATTCCTGCGGTGCTGTGGTTGGTGCAGGGTTGGCTTGGAATGGTCACATGAGCCACGTGCTCAAAACCCCACCCCCCTTCCATGGTCGCTTGAGTACCTAACCCCCCCCCCACCCATGGTCATCTCCCCCCTCTATTCCCGTGGTGCTGTGGTTGTTGCAGGGTTAGCTTGGGATGGTCACATGAGCCACGTGCTCAAAACCCGGGTAGATGAAGGTTAAGGGACAATCCCCTTGCCATAAATAGCTGCGGATATCCGCCTTCTTAATTCTTTACATAGTTCTGGGTAGACCAGTTTAATACCGGGTTTTGGAGTGTCACGTAGCTTCCGAAGAGAAATCAATCTTGTAACATGTCGATGGATTTATGAGAGATGTTTTGATTTGAGTCTCGCACAAGTTTTCCCTTTGACCCATGGGGTAGAAGCCACTTGACCTCAAGATGTACCAGTTCTCACCCGTTTGACGAATGTTGGCTGAGGATGAAAATAGACCCCCCGGTTCCCTGGTTGGTGAAGATTGTCCCATTCGCGACGGGCTGTTTTTCGTATCTTTTGGGGACAGCCCCCACAGGTCCGGTTGATTTATCGGTCGACATGGAGTCCGCAAAGTTTTTCTTGTGGGCGTACAATATTACCAGGGGATCGGTTTTGGGGGGGCCCCAAGTCCCCAAGTTGGGTGAAGTTCCCACTTTGGGTTGAGTCATCCCCTCACTCTACAGGAATTTGTGCCATCTACTAGCTCCTGGCGTATGGGCTTGACATTGCCCCGCTCAGAGGTCCGCAAGCATATCAACGTTAGTGGTAGCATTGAACATCGCCCTTTTTGGTCTGTCGGTGAGCTTCCCTTGGGGGGTGATGTGTCTAGGGGAAGTATAGGGAACCCTGTTGAGCTCTTGCCATTTTTTTTTAGAGTGAGAACCACCCTAAAAGTGGTTGGTGGACATAAATCCCCAGTTTTGATGTCCACCGAAGCGTCCCATGAGCATTGACACCCACCTTGCTCTTTGGCTCTGTCAATGCCCGAGGTGGGTGTGGCGCAAGAGTTTGTTCCCTGGAGCAGTGTCAACGGCGGCTGGGCTATTCGAACGCGCGGTGTGTCATTTGTTTGGGGAGAGCCCGCTTTTGATACTGTGGATGGAAATGGACGAAATCCTGCACCACCTAAGAAACCCCAGAATGATGATTCCCCTGCCCATGGTTTCAAAGCGGTGCAGAATTCCGTCCATCCAGAGTAGGGAAAGCCAAATGAAATTCACAGTCTTGAAGGGCCCCTTTTTTTGATACCTGATTTGAGGGCCTTTCTTGTTTTGAGTCTTTTCAAAGGGATCAAAGGGACATCCCAAAAATGGGGAGGTTCTCCCATTCACACAAATTTTGCCCGGTTTTGGCGAGGCAAAGTGGTGGATATGTTCAATCAACCACTGGAGTCGTTTTTTGGGCGGCGATCAGCGCCGGCGGTCCGTTGAAATCGAGTTCTTGGCATTTGGCGGGTCAAGAATAGGTACCCAAAATGGCATCTTGGTAAATCGAAGCAAAGACTAAGGGTAAATGCGCAAGCCTGGCGTTTTCATCTTGAGCCACACCCATTTTGCTTCCGCACCTCTCCGAGCTGAGGCTAAATGCATCGAAGGAGCCCTTCCGGCCATGAAAGCCGAAAGGCGCCCCGGCCGACCGGCCATGAAAGCCGACCCAACCCAGCCCCACTTCCCCCCTCGGCGGCCAAACCCTGCCAAAGCCTGCGGACCGCCGCTCAGCTGCGCGCGATGATGGAAAGAAGTGTGGCAAAACGGCTCTGCCACGCGTGTCATGGATGGACTTGCGCCAAAATGAGCTCATTGTCTTTGCTGTGCCTGCGCCAGTATTGTGTTTTTTTTGGGAAAGAAAGCCTAAAAAAGACATGAACACAAGTTTGGGTTTTGAAGACCACAAATTTTGGTTCCCCCCTTTTTGAGACACGCCGATTTGCACTGCCAGGTGGCCTGAGGAGAGGGCCCGCCGGCTTGAAGTGCAGCTTCTAAGTGAGTCAAGTGGGTTTGCCTCAAAATGGACCAGCTGACTGAGATACTGTGTGTGGGTGTGTGAGGGTGTGTGTGGGGGTGTGGGGTGGGGGTGGGTGGGGGGGTGGGGGGGTGAGGTGTCTGGGGGTGTGGGGGTGGGTGTGGGGGGTGGGGGGGTGGGGGTGGGAGTGGGTGCGGGGGTGGGGGGGTGGGTGGGGGTGTGGGTGTCGGAATGGACGAAATCCGTTCGCACCACTTTGAAACCATGACAAATCATTGTTTGCTGGTTTTCAGGCGAATCATCATTCCTTGGTTTCAAAGTGGTGCAGGATTTTGTCCATCCACAGTAGGTGTCCTTCAAACAACCTCAACCACAAAAGACACGTTGCTGCTCTTTTCACACCGACATCTAGCTTGCGTGAGGCCATTAAAACAGTGCCAGCCAACTTGCGAAGCCACTGTTAAATGCTCAAATGCCCCACTTAGACACTTAGACACTTAGACACTTAGACACTTAGACAGTCCGAGAGTTAGTCAAATAGTTTGTGCTCCTAGTCACAAGGGTTAAACGGGAGAAAAATCCACCGGGGGTCAACTGGAGTGACTCAAACGGATTTGAGCAGAGGCTTCAAGGTCGGCGATTCTGCCGAAGCCCTGGAACGCCAGGAGCCGGAGCTGGAGGTACATGTCGAGGCAGGGAGCTTTAGGAAGGAGGCTCCAGGAAAGATGACCGAAGGAAGCGCAGAGGATCTAAGAACTTAGAGCCTCAGGGGATCTTAGAGCCTTGGGGGATCCTGGGGGGATGGGAGTTCTGCGAACCTTTCCTGGTGCGGTGTTCAGCTGGTTTCGTGATGTTCTGTGTGCGGACAGGAGGACTGTGGATTGCCAAGATGAGGCTAAGCGGGCCAGAGGCCAACTAAGAACTAGTTTGTTGTTTTTTTCCCCCACGAAGTCAGGTTCAATTAAACATCCGAGCCCGGGAGGTTGCTAGAGGAAGCTGAGCTTCCAAGTCAGGTTTCCTCGAATTGCATCTCATTGGCATAGGATTAGAAGTCGAGCGCGTACATTTTCCCCAGTTTTTTGACGAGAAGCAGGGCTTCAACCGCCGAGCAGGTTTGTTCGGCCATTCCGGAAGCCCCCCAAGAAAAAAAGCACCGCCACCCCCCTCTCCGTGAGGCCGGTGGGCAGGCAAGGGACCTCTTCCGGCAGTTTGATGTCAGAGGCGCGACGAAAGGAAACGCTTGTTGCTTTTGTTGGGGGAGCAGGGATGTTTTCTGGGTCCGGCAAAGGTGTCGCATGTTGAGCGTTTCCGAACTCTCAAAATGTCGACTTTAATGAGTGATTTCGCCACATGACGGTTCTGTTCGAAGGCAATCATCCGGTTTTGAAGTCTATATAGACCACCCTTGTTCCCCTATATGGCTGTGGCTCAAAATTAAGCTGGAGGGGTTATGCGGGTTTTGGTCCATGTGTCCACTTACCCAGGTTCCATTTTTCCGGTTTTTGAGCCACAGCCATATTGCTGGAGTGTTGGCTTTATCAGGCCTTGAATTTGGCGTGGCCTTCCGATAAACTCGAAATGGCTGTAGGTCAACACCCAGGAAACCCCTGGTGAACATCAAAATAGGTGGCAAATGGATGTTCATCCACCCCAAAATGGAGCCATAGGTTATGCCGTATGTCTCAACGGGGCTTTGCATCTGGAGGAAATCGGGAAACAGCTAAGGCCAAACGATCATGAATCCTTCGTTCAGCAAAGTCGACGGAGAAAGCAACAACATGTGCCCCGGTCTGGGACCTGGCGATGGCTCTTGAAGATCCATTGCCTTGAACGACGTGTGTGTGTGTGTGTGTGATTTGTTGCGGGTACCCTTTTTGGGGGGCGTTCTTTCGGTTTCCCTTGACCCAAAGGCACACCACTTTCTGGGCTCGAGTTCTGCACACCACTTACATAGATATTCATATATATATATATACATGGTACCCCCCTTCTCCATGGACCCTGGTTTGGCGCGTTTGACCTCTTTTTTATAGCCTCGTTTCAACGGCAAATGTACATTTGTCGCCGTCGGGTTTGAAGCGGATGCATCATTTCATCGGCACATGTCACATTTTTCTGACAACTGGACGCCATTGGGTCCAGTACCTGCAGTTTGTTTCGCCTAGTTGATGTTTGTTTTGTACTAGGGCTGTTGGTTGGTTGGTTGGTTGGTTGGTTGGTTGGTTGGTTGGTTGGTTGGTTGGTTGGTTGGTTGGTTGGTTGGTTGGTTGGTTGGTTGGTTAGTTGGTGGTTGGTTGGTTGGTTGGTTGGTTGGTTGGTTGGTTGGTTTGTGGGTGGGTGGGTGGGTGGGTGGGTGGGTGGGTTGGTTGGTTGGTGGGTTGGGTGTTGGTGTGTTGGTGTGTTGGTGTGTTGATGTGTTGGTGTGTTGGTGAGTTGGTGTGTTGGTGTGTTGGTGTGTTGGTGCGTTGGTGCGTTGGTGCGTTGGTGCGTTGGTGTGTTGGTGTGTTGGTTGGTGTGTTGGTTGGTGTGTTGGTTGGCGTGTTGGTTGGTGTGTTGGTTGGTTGGTGTGTTGGTTGGTTGATGTGTTGGTTGTTTGGTTGGCTGGCTGGCTGGCTGGCTGGCTGGCTGGTTGGTTGGTTGGTTGGTTGGTTGCTTGGTTGCTTGGTTGCTTGGTTGCTTGGTTGCTTGGTTGCTTGGTTGCTTGGTTGCTTGGTTGCTTGGTTGCTTGGTTGCGTGGTTGCGTGGTTGGTTGGTTGGTTGGTTGGTTGGTTGGTTGGTTGGTTGGTTGGTTGGTTGGTTGGTTGGTTGGTTGGTTGGTTGGTTGGTTGGTTGGTTGGTTGGTTGGTTGGTTGGTTGGTTGGTTGGTTGGTTGGTTGGTTATTTGGTTGTTTGGTTGTTTGGTTGTTTGGTTGTTTGGTTGTTTGGTTGTTTGGTTGTTTGGTATGTTGCTTGGTGGGTGGGTGGGTGGGTGGGTGGGTGGGTGGGTGCGTGGGTGGGTGGGTGGGTGGGTGGGTGGGTGGGTGGGTGGGTGGGTGGGTGGGTGGGTGGGTGGGTGGGTGGGTGGTGTGTGTGGGTGGTGTGTGTGGGTGTGTGGTGTGGGTGTGGGTGTGGGTGTGGGTGTGGGTGTGTGTGGGTGTGGGTGTGGGTGTGGGTGTGGGTGTGGGTGTGGGTGTGGGTGTGGGTGTGGGTGTGGGGTGTGGGTGTGGGTGTGGGTGTGGGTGTGGGTGTGGGTGTGGGTGTGGGTGTGGGTGTGGGTGTGGGTGTGGGTGTGGGTGTGGGTGTGGGTGTGGGTGTGGGTGTGGGTGTGGGTGTGGGTGTGGGTGTGGGTGTGGGTGTGGGTGTGGGTGTGGGTGTGGGTGTGGGTGTGGGTGTGGGTGTGGGTGTGGGTGTGGGTGTGGGTGTGGGTGTGGGTGTGGGTGGGTGGGTGGGTGGGTGGGTGGGTGGGTGGGTGGGTGGGTGGGTGGGTGGGTGGGTGGGTGAGTGGGTGCGTGGGCGGGCGGGTGGGTGGGTGGGTTGGGTTGGGCTGGGTTGGGCTGGGTTGGGCTGGGTTGGGCTGGGTTGGGCTGGGTTGGGCTGGGCTGGGTTGGGTTGGGTTGGGTTGGGTGGGTTGGGTTGGGTTGGGTGGGTTGGGTTGGGTTGGGTGGGTTGGGTGGGTTGGGTGGGTTGGGTGGGTTGGGTGGGTTGCTTGGTTGCTTGGTTGCTTGGTTGCTTGGTTGCTTGGTTGGCTGGTTGGCTGGTTGGCTGGTTGGTTGGTTGGCTGGTTGGTTGGTTGGACCTCGAGCGTGCTCGTAACAATCATTCCCATGTGCAGTCCGTTGCACCATGAAAACAGATAGCGTGTTTTTGCAGTCGACTTGCAACATGTTGCAACCAACATGGGGAATCGTGTCTACCTTCACCCAGCTGTATTTCCTGAGAACCACTTTGACGTGGGAATCGCGAAAAATGTGCGCGCCTTTTTGTTTTTAGGTACCCTGTTTGGGGTTGTTTTCAGGGGATGCCAAAGGGACAGCACGTATTTGGGGGTTCCCTCAAAAAAGACAAACCCAAATGGTTGGCCCTAGAAGGAGAAGTGGGGGGCCAAGCGAAATCACCACGGCGATTTCCGGTTCCGCTTGGCTTGCTCGGGGCAGGAGCTGGCGAGCTCTCCTGGAGGAAGGGCGAGGCTTGCGGGTCCGAAGGAGATTTCGACAGTTTTAAGAACCATCAAATGGATGTTTCTCAGACTGGGGGATCCCGTTGTGGTGCGGAACGCAGGTTTCTTGGCTCTTGGTTTGTGAAGCAAGCTGCTTGGCAGTGTGAAGCGCTTTTCTTTGATGGACTTGTTGGCACAAGTGCAAGTTGTTTTCCATCAACGGCCAAGCCATTGCCCAGGTGTATTGACTATCAATACTGTAAGGGTTCACCAACTCGCATGGAACCTGACACAAGGTTTCTTGAAAAGGAACCTGATCTTCCAGCACCCCCCGACGTGTCAGGATTCAGCATATCCTCTATTCCCCCTATTTCCCCCAGTTTTCCGCTCACACCCTCGTCGCTACCAGGGCCCTTACCTAAGGCCTGACTGGCTACCTCACGGTTAATGCAACTCTCGTTGTTTTTGAACGCCAAGGAAGAAGGTTCCCCAAATTTCGGCGTTTTGGTGTTTCAAACATCAACTGGGCAAAGTGACCTTGGGTGGAGTGATGAAACAATGGAAGCCCAGCAGAAGGCGGCAAGGAATCTGCTTTGTTTTGCACAGGATGTGTTCAAGGGGTGCCCGGTTCGCACAGGCCCAAGTGCAAGGCCGAATTTGCCATCTGCTTGCACGTGAGTATGTCCTCTT